TGCAGAGGGGAACTTCAAAAAACAGTTGCACCAGTGCATAGAGAACGGTGGCCACCACCTTCAAGATATTTTGTTTAAAACTACATGATTTAAAACTTTAAAGTATGTTCTTTCATTAGCTAAACATAAATTTTGTCTATCAGTAATAATTTTTATTTTATTCGGCTTCAAAAAAAGGAATTTTCTGCACCCCACCCTGTATATTATCAGTTCAGACAAACACAACACAAACACATATGCCTGCTGAAATTGTAAGATAGAGATATGACGTCTGTGGTCAGGTAACCAGGCATTGATGGTTATGGTCAAAGGGAAGGAAGCATACAAACTACAAAAAAAAGTGGCCATAAGTGGCATCCCCATACAAATTGCTGCTGGCACACATATTGCAGAAGTTTCTGCTAAGAGAGGGTGCTGCTTTACAATCAAGACGAACACTGGAATCTCAAGTCACTTTTTAGCTCTCATGTTTGGTTGGTAATTTGCAGCTCGAAGCATTAGTCACTGTCTGCTATGATCTGCTACATTTTACTTTAAACCTATATTGGAAATTGTCTTTCTTCTGGATGAGACAGAGTGGCAAATGTTCTTACTTTGAAAGTATATACTCAAATGATAAAGTACAAGCTGCAGTGTTTTCACACCAAACCAATGCATCTGCACATATTTCATGAAGGCTGAACTGCTCAAAGTTCTTGTTCAGCAAAATCAGTAGAGGTATCAGTGTTAGCAGTCTTATACTGTGACAAATCTGCTGGTACAATAATATGTATACTTCCTTTATACCTTTGCTTCTCACAATAGCTTCAAAATCTCTGCCATTCTTGGCAACATAGCTGGCCATCTTGTCTATAATGAGCTGCATGTCTGGTGGAGGGTGAGTGAACATTTCAGGAGAAACTGATCTTGAACTGCTATGGCCTCCACTATACACAGAATCTACTTGTTTCCTGAAATTACAACATAGAACTGTAAACAAGCCTTGAATGAATAAAGTAACATATCAGTAGCCAGTTCCTGTTATATTCTAAAATTAATTTCCTTATTCTGATATAAAATATTTGACAAAGTAAAATCTTCATGATATATTCACTGCTTGCATCATGTGTTAAGATGGCAACCTACTAAACGTGTTGAGATATTATGTAGGATGAGGTTTTCACAGTGGTGACTATGAAGAATCCCGTCTTCTGGGATTTGGCTGTGTTGATCTTGTGTGAACTGATGCTTCAGAGGAACTTATTGCCTACATCTTCAGCATAGAAAAATCTGAGAGCGAGGTACCAATGTGATCATGTTGCTAGCAGGAGCCACCAGTCAAAAACACCCAGCTATATAAGAACAGAGGAGGGGACGGAGAGTGGGCCCCAAGGGAAACCGCTAAAGAGAGAAGTTTTCAAGCAGAATGGTTACAATGACCGGCAGATCCAGAGAGTCCTAAACTGTCATCCAAATATCAGTCAGCCTGATGATAATCCAGATGCCTTCCTACCTTATGTAGGGACTATATTCAAGCGAATTAGCAGAGTTCTGTCCTGACACAACATGAAGTCAGTGGGCCTGCTTCCCAAGAAAGTACCTAGTTTCCTCCGGTCAGTCAAAAATAACTTAGGAACAAGGACACCAGGTGTATACAGAATCCCCTGTGTATGCAGCAAGGTCTGCAATGGGCAGACCGGCTGTTCCATGGATACCAGGTTGAAGGAGTATCAGTGGCATATCCATCTACAACATCCAGACAAGTCAGCCGTGGCTGAACACAGCATCAACTTGGGACACCACATTCAATTTCACAATACCTCCATCCTCGCCACTAAAATCAGATACATGGATTGCATCATTAGGGAGGCCAATAAGATTGAGTTCCAACCCAACAATATGAACAGAGAGGTTGGTTTTTTAAGCCATGTAATCCTACCATCTGCTCTCTCAAGAAACCTCCTGAACATGACGCCAGATCTACAAGGCTACACAGGTCAATATACGCTCAGCAGCTCTAGCCCCAAGGCTACTAGGTCAATGCTCACTCAGCAACCCTGACTTTTTCCCCACCGTCCACAACTTTCCTCTGCTACCTGTCTGCCTGGCCTTCCTACCTGATCTTGACTGACCCTACCCCTCTCATTTCCCATGTGGCCCATTCTCCCTCCCTCCTTTCTTATATAGCTGGGTGTTTTTGACTGATGGCTCAGTCTACTAGCCACCTGCTCACACTGGTTCCTAGCTCATGGATTTTTCTACTCTGAAGATGGAGATACATTCCTCCAAAATGTCATTCACACAAGATCTAAATGATGTCACATCCCAGAAGATGGCATTCTTCGTGTTAAGATACTGTCATGATCTTAGCATGAATATAGACAGGTTTTGTATTGGTGACCAGATTAACTGGATTCTTTGATACAGCATGTGACTACACTTTACAGTTCACTACTACACACACACATTAGTGTCCTCAACCACGTCTCCACCGTCGTTGCTCAGTTGCAGCTTCCAATGTCAGACGCTCTCTTCTTCTAGGTTCCCGAACTGTCCCCAGACTTTGCTACCAGCTTATAACAGAAATAGCTCATGACTGACTGAATCACTCACTCACAAAAAGCTAATTGGCCCTGCTTATAAGACCTCAGCAAGGAACTGTGTAGAATATGTTTCCTCCATTAGTGCTGTACTCTCGTGTTGCCACGGAAACATGCTGTGTGTCTAGTGGCAGCTGTGTCATAGATATATTGGATAAACATTCATCCATATGATTCCTGTACAAAGAACTCTATGAAATGAAGTATTATGTGACTAACAATGTAGCACTAGCATAAGATGATAGGCATGCAATATTATATTTCAAAGGAACATATTTATTTCATGACTGTATATTGTGAGGTCTGAAACATACTTTCATTTATTTTTGTTCTGATAAATTTCTGTTTATATTCTGAATTTCCTGTACAGACATCTCACTTAAGCAGACATATCAAGAAATAATATATTTTTAAGATTATGGTCTTGTGGGATATAATACTGTGAAGTTTATTACACCTATCTATGAAACTATAAAGCGTAACATCACGGATGACTGCAATCTTGATAGCACCACGAAAACCTAAAATCTCAATATATTCTGCCTCTCAGTATGGAAACTCTCTCTCTCTTAGGGTCAGTGTTAAAATACATATCTCGAGCAATTCTATTAGTGGCTACATCATATCCACTATATATCAAGCTTACCCATACACATCTTCATCTGAAGAGTCTCCATTGTGTGATGTTTTCCTCACACTAATATGCTGATATGTAGTGGAAGTTGGTGCTGTCACTTCTTTGGAAACAGGATCGTGTCTGTAGAGAACCGGCGATGCCTGGATAATGTGACTAGGTGCCGCCTGCTGATACTGCATCGGCAGAATGGGATCAGATGTTCCAGGAACAGGAGGCTGTTGCAGTGGGTTCACAGAGAATGATGCCTGCCTGTTCTTGATTTTGTTAACTAGCATGGAGTATGCACAGTCAGCTGATGGCTTGTAGTTAATGCTTGGAATTGATGGAGCCTGCAGAAAAAAAAAGTTTAATGCAAATAAATATCAAAAGTCACACCAAGTGATACATATGAAGTATCGTAACAATAGCAGGGACTAAATGGAAGTACGAGGATTTGCATTATGACAATCATTTTCTCTAACCACAGTCATCCTAACAACTCCCAAATAATGTTAAGATGTCTTACAAACTGCATGTTATTATGTTAAGCTAGTCTGTGCATTCAAGTCTGCAGTCTAGGGTACAACTGTAACTTTATTCTAAGTATAAACATTTGCATTATAAGATATGCAAACGCATTCATATTATGAAAATTATATGAAAATGCATTTAAAATTCTGGCTTGCCTAGAAAAGTTCAAGAAGTCCAAAACGTTTTTCTCACAATCTCATGAAAAGAACAGAAAAACTGACAGAACTGACCCAATTTTCTCTCTTCTTCTCACATATCTTTTGCTCATTAAGGCATGTCAACCATTTCCTTACAGAAATGCAACACAATTTAAACTTCACAAATTGCATGATTATATTTAAAATATAAAATTTTATATAAGGGCTGTTACATCAATTGGTCATGCACTTCTAAATGGTTGTCACTGGCAGGGCAAAAATTCTGAACTCATTGGATACACAGACGGAAGTAACGAGAAATGAAGTTTGCATAGATTTGCTGTTGCAATTGTCATTATTGTAGCCTTCTTTCCCAGTCTTCCTACCATGAATATTGTCTACAGCTGAATGACAATCTCCTTGAGTAACATTACTGTCTGCAGAAAATGGTGATGTGTCCTTGTAAAGTATATATGTAAGGCATGATACTGGGGGTTTGCTCAATAAAGTTACATCAATCACTTGTACTCGCTACGTGGATGAAGATACACTTAATTCTTCTGCAGTCTGTCGAAGACGATGATCACCAACACTCGGCATCTTCTCTTCTATGGTCATCAGTTAAAAGTGCTCTTTATGTGTATTTAAATAAAAGTGTTTCATAAGGGTAAAGTATAATACAAATTGTACCTTATGAGACTGCTTATCTCATTTACCAAGTTCATATAAAAAATAAACAAAAAAATGATGATGAAGAGTCCTATCATCTGGAATGTAACACCAGGTAACCTGGTATCAGTCCACCAACATTTCAGGGTGACACATGTCTCCAATTCCAGGGTAAAAGAATAAACAGCAAGAAGCAGGCAGGAAGCAGAGCAAACCATATTCAGAAAAACAGAATGTGATATAGATAAAACAATGAACTCAAAATGTTCAGAAGAAACCAATAGGACAATGGAGAAGAGTAACACAGTGGCCCTGAAGAGATGCACCTTTGCTGCTTCAAGAAATGGGAACGAGAGAGGATATAAATGTGCGAAAGAATAATGAGGGAAGTCATGTATGTGGGTTCTGAGTTCACAAGTGTCTGGCCTAAGTAGAGCAAAAAGCAGAAGGGAAGCTGGGAAGGAAGAAGGAAGCAGTTGCTGTGGAAAAGCAGCAAGGAAAGCTCAAGTTTCAAGGGTGCCCTAATAAGAGCAGCGTCCAGGCATCAAGGTCCAGTGGAGAACCCCATCTTGAGAATTCTATGAAGAAGGCTTCCTACTTCTTTCATGAAGATGTGAGGTTTCCATGACTTGCTTAGGCAGAAGCCATCCTCCCTGTTCAGACTACTGGGAAGGAATCCAATCTCAATTCTCTCTCCGGCAATGTGGTCCATGTATCTAGGTTTGGTGAAGAGGATGGTGTTATGGAGCTGGATGTAGGGTCCCAAGTTGATGCTGTGCACCACCACAGTTGACTTGTCTGGATGATCCAGCCAGATAGGCCCAAAATGCACTTTCACTATGGTGTCAAGCAACTGGCCTGTATGTCCAATGTAGTCCTGACTGTGCTCACAAAGGATATTGTATACCCCAAGTATCTTCAAGTCTAGGTCATTCTTGACTAGCTGAAAAAAGTTGAAAATTTCCTGAGAGCCCAATTGACTTCATGTCATGCAAGGACAGCGACCTACTAATGCAGCTGATATCAGCCTAAGTCAAGATCATCACTGGGCACAGCAACGCACACTGGACAACTGGGTGCCCTATGACTATATCAGGTGCTTTAGCCCTTCTGTCTTGAATGTGATTTTTAGAAATTCCAGTTCATCATACAGGCTGTCCTGTCATACAGACTCTGGCTCATGCACCAAGATGGAAAGTACAGCATGCTTGTCAGATGGGTGGCAGTGGGAACCACAAGATGGAAAGTACAGCATGCTTGTCAGATGGGTGACAGTGGGAACCACAAGATGGAAAGTACAGCATGCTTATCAGATGGGTGACAGTGGGAACCAGAGTTAAGGCAGAGGTAGGTGTTAGTGGTTTCATGGCATACCTTATGTCCAACCATCAGGTCTCCTATAAACACCTGTGCATAGAAATTAAGACTGCAGAGTTCTTCAAATAATGTGGGGAACTGCCCACATGAGACCTGAGCAAACCTGACACATGCTTGGATGGGCAGTAGGCCCCAATAGTGCTCACATTGGGGATTAATGGAACCCCTTCCTTGTAGATTTTTGGAAGCCCACACCCTGTTGCTGAACTTGTGGGCAAACATCCTCAGAAAGTGGGGCCTTCTTAAAACTACAGTTTTGTGCTCCACAAACTCAATATTCTTAATCAACTTCCAACATGCATAGACTTCCAAAAGGGCAACAATTATTTCATTATAGTCGATGGTGACAAGGACCACTATTACACTGATATCAGTCAGACAATGTCCACCAAATCAGTTCACAATGGAGATGGAAAGAGACTGTCACCTTCCTTCCCTGGACATAAACATTTACAAGAGGCCTGATTGATCTCTGTGTCATAAGGCATGCCATAAACACAGTAACAACAACCTCTCCTTCAACTCTGGTTCCCACCACAAACCACTCAAAAACATTGCATTAGTAACCACCTTTGTGTACAGGGTGAGCAATCTGCACAACTAGCAGAGCCTGCATGATGAACTGGAATTTCTCTAAGTCTTGTACCAGCAATACAGCTACAGTATACATCAGATTCATAGGCCCTCAATCTGCCAATGTTGCTCTGCCCAACAAAGATCCTGACTTTGTTGCTTTCCTGTCCTACACTGGGCGAACCTTCAAACACATTAGCAGGTAGGTGTCCTCTCAAAGAAAATAGGAAGCCTCCTTCACAGAAATCTCACGAAGGGGCTTCTCCACTGGGCCTGTATGCCTGGACACATTGCCTCTTAGAAAGCACTCACCAAACATAATCTTTCTTTGTTGCATTTTCCTTCTTCCTTCCTCGTTTTCCCTTCAGATTCTTCCTCTCCTTAATGCCAGTCATCTGCTTGTGTATAAGCCACTAACCTGACTTCTCCCCTGCCCTCCCTCATTTCTCCATCTACTATATATGCTTATGACTTTTCTCCTTCTGAATCCAATTTCTTCACATAAATGACCATCCTCACAGCCAGAGAGTTACTCTTCTCTTATATCCTACTGGTTCATTCTAAGCCTCATGGAGAATAGGTCTGCTATTATTGGTTGATTACTTCTGCATGTGGGTTCCTTCTGCCTGCCATCTGCTTCTTGCTGGGCTTACTCTTTGACCCTAAGATGGAGGCAATAAGTTCCTCCAAAACACTGGTGGACATCTACTGGACTACACAGGGTTACATCCCAGAAGAATGTACTCTTCATAGTCACCACTGAGAGAACCTCAAATTTAACAAAAATTAATGATGTCCATTTTACCACAAGATAACAGATTTAGAACTTCCATCCAAACTGAAACTGTAAACCAGTCCTGGAAATAGAAATAGGCGTTTGATTATCATCACAAATCAAAACATGGTCAACCAACACATACACACACATACACAATATGTACAATGAGTACAATATTATAGTTCAAAATAAATCGGTGAACAGACATGGAAAGAGCTTCAAACACATGTTAAATGGTTCTTTCAGAACGTAACTGTGTCCACCAGGATAGGGTAGTGCATAGTGAAGAAAATAACCACTTATATAAAAAATACAGAAATTTATTCCCTGAGAGACTGATCTTGAACATTGGACAATTTTGATAATATATAAACATTTTCAAAGGCAGTGGAATGTATTTTCATGTTGAGCATATGTAAGACTTTGGATTACTCCTTTTACACAGGTCACCACATATGGCATAATTAAATTTCGATTTCAGAGTAAGTGAATAATAAAACAGTTTCTAATCACTGGTTACAAAAAGCTTTGTAAAGAATTAAGACTGAACAACAATAACATATATTGCACCACACAAAGCAGAATAAATATAATTATTAAAATTCTATAGAGTTTATATCACAGTTTGGATGCGAAGAATGTCCCAGGAGGATAACCTACCAATTCAACACGTGAACTTCCAGGGGCCAAGCTAGGATGCAAGTAGTGGTCATCATTTCCATCATCTTGATCACCTGGAAAATACCGATTAAAAATGTACAATAAATTAAACTGGAGAGTAATATTAATGGAAGATAAAGAAATTGGCTACTTACATCTATAAGAAACAAACGATACTGAAATATCTTGCTACATTTTCTTGGGACTGGATAAGAAAAGTTGTTCTTGGCAGGAAACAAATACAGTAAACATAATTTTAAATACATAATCCAGAAATTGCCAATCACAGTAGCTGAGCAGTCTAAGGCATGTACTGTTTTCACTCGGTCAGAAGCCGGGATTGTGGGTTCGAATCTGACACAAGGGATGGATGTTGATGTGTGTATGCATTTATTCTGTTTGTGTTGTCCTGTGTTTCGGTAGAGGATTTGCAACAAGCTGATCACCCATCAAAGGAATCCTACCATCTGTAAAAATGATCAATGAAACTGAGAAAGCAGCCCTATCCTACAAAGTAGGAAATGGAAGAAAAAATCCAGACATAACAAACTCTAGATTAAGACGGTTTGAATAATGCAAGTTTCATCATGAAGAATATCTGCTCAGTATTGCAGTTTTAACTTAAGAGTAACCAATCCGCTTTCTATAAAATTCTTTCACTTCCATGCAAAGGCTAATAAGACACTTATAGTCAATAATTGTATAATTTTGTTGTGTGTTTCGCTGCATAATTTCTGCCATCATAGATCTCCATTAACAGAAAGCTGTCATATGCAGCATGATCTTCATCAGTTTTACCATACGGAAAAACTGACGCAAAGACATTGCACATACTTTCTCGTACACAACTGACCCTCACTACATTACCTTGGAAATCATCTCTATTGCTTTTTGGCAGACCACCACTGGTTACTGAATATACAAGTTTTGACATGTAATTTTCGAGAAAACTGACATTTGAAGTTTGGACCCATAGCGGGTGTACTGTTATTTCCCTGAAGAAACCATCTATGCAGTTTCATTTCCAGCAATGGTCTCCACAGACTACAGACTTTCAATCAAAATTAATACAGCTGTTTCCGAGAAAATTGTCATTTTATGTTTTGGAACTCGTCTGAGGGGCCTTTATTTTTCAGCCTAGACTGTTCAGATTCACCAAGTAAAAACCTACAATGGATAATCTCTTAAACACTCAATATGAATGAACTCCATCCAGCTGCTCAGGCGCCACTGGGGGGCAATTTCACGTATACATACATATATACATAAGGTATGCCCAAAAAGCACTTTTCCTTTGGGGGTGGGGTAAAAATTGTGTAAATATAGCAAAATTTCAAAACTGCGTTTTATAATAACACATACTACACAAGTATGTAAAAAATTGGTGTTAAATGGCACATCACTGTTAGTTGCTGAATACCAAACAATGATATTCCTTAAACTGGTAAAGCTGGTTTCGAGAAAACTGACATTTCACATTTAGGAGCGAACTATGTGTACCATTACTTTTCTGGATGACCCACCCACAGTTTTAATTGGGGATAAGGACTCCATTCAATACTGTAATTTAATCATAACCGTCTGGCCATTTTTAAGAAAACTGCCATTTTGTGTTTTGGGGCCCACTGCAGGGGCATCTACATTTGAAGCTGAGACATTCAGACTCACCAGGCAGTAGTGTTATAATGTGGCCAGTGTGGAAACTAACTGATCACACTATGCAAAAAGCATGTACAAACCTTCTTTATCCTGTTCCTGCGTCTTTGGTCGGTAACGTCCAGTTTTTATTGCCATGAGAAGATGACGATAGTATGGATGAAGTGGTGAATCAAAGGAAAGAAACTGAAATTGTGGATTGTTTGCTTGCTTCATTTTCAACAAGATCTCCATCTGAGCTCCTTGCTGGCTGATGAACAGTGCAGTCTTCTCAATAATTGCATTCAGTTTAACAGAGTCAGGCTGCAAACAAGGACAAACTCCTGATACTTTAACTTCTCAGCAAAATGAAGCATCCTACCTCATCTCATAAATGTATACACACACAATACCATTGTTAAGTGAGAGGTTGTACTGACAGTACAACCATCTCCATGTGTCAGGCATCTCTGATAATTTACAGCTGATGGACTTCATTAAACTTGGTGTGAATATGATGCCACTAGAGGTAACTGCACTTTTTAATTCCCTACTGCCAATAATGGGGGGGGGGGACGCGGTAGCGTAGTTGGTTGACACACTATGCTACAAGCCGGGAGGTTCCGGGATTGAATCCAAATGAGGTGGATTTTTTCAATTTACCTAATCCTTCTAGCCGCACTATGGCCCTGGGGTCGACTCAGCCCTCTTAACAGAAATGAGTACCAGCAATATTCTGGGAGGTAAAGGGCAGCTGGCGCATAAGGCTGACAACCTTACCTCCATCTAAGAGCCGATTGTCTAGAAAATATGGGAACCTCAACATCTCACAACCCTATGGGCCTCCATGGCCTGTTACAGGGATACCTTTATTTTTACTTTTTACTGTCAATAACGCCTACAGAGAAGTTAGAGGACTCATGAAATGGGAGTGACACTAACAATACAACTAGCACACTATTACAAGATACAGAAATTTTATGTAGTAAGAGATGCAATTCTTGTTAATACAATTTTTCTATACTGGTCATGAAAAATCTACACTTATTTTTCCATCTGATGAACACTAACAAACCATTTCAAGTAGACATGTGACATGTGACAAGTAGACATATTAAAAACTTGCATACAAGTTCCATATGAAATATTCTTCATGCTAACAAAGACAAATATAACAAGGAGACAAAATTTTCAGACTACATCACAATTTTAACACAGCTAGAATTTGTACTAACAGGATTATGAACAAAAATAATTAGATTGTGTAACTAGTACCTTACAATTCTTCCTACCTCACCATATGGATTTAAAGATCTGAAGAACAGTAAGCATCATAAATTATACACAGAGCTTTCAGATTCAATTTAAAATATGGCCAATGCCTTCCCACAAAAAAAGTTGTAACTTCAGTTTGGGAAAGCCCCTTGTATATCAAATGTGGTTCATACCAGTGTCATGTTAATGGGTATATCCAATTCTGGAGGGGCTATGAAAGGTTCATCTCCTCCTTCCACTTCCTCCTCTGCTGGTTCTCCCCCTACTTTTTCTACATGTTTTCCTGAGCCCTGATCTTCATCATAATTGAACGCAACTTCACCGTATGACTTCGAGCCCAATGCTTTATGCAGTCTCTTCAGTTCTTCTTCTGCAGAAAAATTAAATGATATATATTATACACTACTTATACAGAAAACTGCTGTTAGTAGGCAACATCTTCATACAAAACTAGAGTAATAAAAATAGATGGTTGCTCTTTGGTTTTTTACTTCCAAAAGCAGAACCTGTATGAAGCCAAACTTGAAGTCTGTGAAGAATGCCTTCTTCTTGGATGTGGAACAGTGTAGATCTTGTGTGAACCGACATTTCAGAGGAATGTATCACCTCCATCTTCAGGGTAGAAAAATCCATGAGCAAGGAACCAACATGAGCTACAGCCACCTGCTCATGGATTTTTCTACCCTGAAGATGCTGGCAATATATTCCTCCGAAATGTCGGTTCACATAAGATTTACACAACACCACATCCCAGAAGATGGCATTCTTCATAGTCACTGCTGTGAAAACATCAAGTCTTACATTTAGGTCTGTGACCTTACACTCTGCTGTAATACATCTTTTTCAGACTATCACTGTTCTGCTTGGTAGACACAACCACTTGTTCAAATGCTCAGCTGAAATTTACTGGCGTCCACATGCAAAGATAACATTTATGGACTTACATAAGGAGAGTCGATGCTTAACAGACCTACAAAAACAAGAGCACATGCTAAAAAAGTATATTTTCAGCAAGAAAAGAGAAAACTCTATAACCAATTTTAATATTATCCTACCTTGATATAAAGCCTCTTCTTCCTCATTATGATATAAAGCCCGATACCGTTCCTCATCACAAAGTTGCTCTACACGGCGTTCAGCATCAGAAAGACCAACCCATCGATTTGCATCATGACCTCCTGGCTGTGCCTCATACTGCTTTAAGTCATATAATGCCCCACGTCCATCATATCTGCATGAAAAACCATCCAGCCAATCAGCAAGCAACATCTAAGCATTCTCCTTACACAAAACATTCAACTTATGAGACAAGCTATGATGAAACCTTTGAAGACATTGAATGGCTTGCTGAAAATAAAAATCAATGAAAAACAGATTCATTATTACGGCCTACTCTGCTTTGCTTAACACACATATGCAACTAATGCCTTATATGCTTTAATGTAAAACAGTAACAAATCCACAATTCAAAAATATTTCCATCACACTACTGACACCATATACTATTCTATGATATCAAAAGATTACTACAAAGCTTTCCTGAACCCTAATTCATAACACTGTACTTGTACCTCATCTGGCAACGTAAATTTTGTAAATTTTGCCGAGAAATAAAATAAATGTCACTGCATCCTCAAAATCAGAAGGGGTAAATTATTATCATACACAATAATTGTTCCTGATTAAGAACCCTTTTTAAAAATAAAAAAAAAATAAGTACAAATTGCCGAAGCACATTAAAAACATTGGGACAAATTTTTTTGTGCCATTTAATGTAAAACTCTTAATTTGGTATGGTGAAAATTCTTAAATAATATTAAACTTCTGTTATGGTAATTTCTTTGTAGAATACTACATAATACAGATGATCCACATAGTGTACATGAACCTTTCAGTTAGGTAACGATAATTAAACAACCATTATAATATTCAGTATAAAGATACACCACAAAAAGTCTGTCTTTACTTTTTTTGTTTGTGTTATGTGTATTACAGTCACACAGATTATGATTAAAAAAAATTGTGGTTACACCTGGCAATGTTACAGAAATGGGAATCCATACTAATGGGTATTATGCACTGAAGTGTTGAGATGTGATTTCCGGGGTTTCAACATCGTGTAGTGTGGCACCAGACAACACAGTGCCATAACCCAGAAAATAATCTGAATCTTCACTCCTGTGAAGGCTTCCAAGTCTCATTCCAAGATGATGATTGAGATATCTATAATTATTAATTTAGAACGTCTACTAATATGTCTAGTTAGATGGGAACATTTAATGGATAATATATAACACAATTTCTTTCAGAAACTTCAAGTTACCAGAGCTGGAGGCAGTACTTAATGTACAATTAAATGTCATGTTACTGTTTCTTAAACACAAAAGGCATTTTTGCAGCATAACACTCATCATATTTACATAATAATGGCTACACCAGACTTTACTGATTATTGTACTCGGCGTTAACTCACCACATTGACAGAACTATAACTATGAATATATAATCACTTCGGTTTAATTTTTTAAACATCACAATTTATTCCAATTCAATTCTGGGGAATAGGACATACAAAATTCATGGAAGGCAAGATTGTACTCTCCTTCAATCTTACCACTAAAGGGAAATGCCCTAGTGTCCAGCTGGCTTTCCATTCTCACCTTCATGGCAAACTTGCGAAGGTGGTCAACATCTTAGCCACCACGGTGATACCCATGGCACAGGCCAGGGGGACACAAGCTATAGCAAAAATCTCACGAAAGCTGTCCATCCTGTGGAAATCTTAAAACATGTTAATTCAAGAAATCAATTTAAAACCAATCTAAGACATAAAATACATCATTTACACATATGCTTATGTTGAGTATTTTCGCCAAGTTCCTATTCTACCAGGATTTTAAAATAAACACTGACTGTATATCTGAACATACATAACCCTATCATACCTAACATTCATCTGTGAACCATGAAGTGTGTAAAAGAATCTGAGATGGTACGAAGCTTGCTTTAAAAATATCTTTTACCAATAGGTGGAAAATATAGCTTTTATGGGGAACAGATAAATCAGCCAGAACAGAGAACGAAGTTCTCAACATGTCAGAACCCCGAATATTTTCACATTATGTTTCTTCATGTAGCAAGAAACCTCTTTCAGAGGTCTCTCTCAATAATGTCAGTTGAAAGGTCTCTTTTGGCTGCTCAGTACAGGTGCAGCCAGTTGCTTCAGTCATACAGTGTAAATCAGCAGAAGACTCATAAATGTTGCTAAAAACAGATCATAGGTTCTTTAGGCCAATGAAAATATGGCATTTAACAACAAATTCTGAAATAAATAAGAATTTGCAAAAACTTTTTCTAGCAAGTTTCAAGTTAAATATTAAATTAAGCAAATTAAAAATAATGAATATTGCTCCCTACTATCTTCCATAACTTATCTTAGTTACTATACCTAGTTTAGTACTCTTCGCATGTTAAAAATTATGGTCAAACTTGCTATCTAACATTCAGTTTGGTAAATACAGTAGGCTCTCTATTAGTCACACACAGATTAGCTGCAGTGCAAATGCATGCATGCACATACACATACGAAGGGGGACCCAAAAATAACCGGAAACGACCTGTTGCGCGCGCAAGCTTTGTAGTTACGAGTTGTGTTGCTAGGTGGTGTTAGCTGGGGGTCTCCCGCGACTGTTAGTGAGCTGGTGTCAGTCTGAGTTAAGTGGTTTGTCTGTGGTGCTCTGTTGTGTGCGTTCCTGTTTCAACCCTTTGGCGATTAGTGAGATGGCCGACCAGAAGGAACAAAGAGTGTGCGTGAAATTTTGCTTTCTGTTAGGGAAAACTGCACTTCACTCTTCAAGTCACGGCAAACATTCACGCGGTTTTCTCTTTGGTCATCTCCGAGCAAGCGAGGAACAAATTTTGGAGACACCCGTCTCATGTGCAAACCTTCGGTTAAAATTCGCTGGACCGTGCTCCATGAGATGTTCGTTTCCTCAGAAAGTTGGTCAATGGTCTTTCGACAATCTTCATCAATTTCACGCACACTCTTTGTTCCTTCTGGTCGGCCATCTCACTAATCGCCAAAGGGTTGAAACAGGAATGCACACAACAGGGCACCACAGACAAACCACTTAACTCAGACTGACGCCAGCTCACTAACAGTCGCGGGAGACTGCCAGCTAACACCACCTAGCAGCACAACTCGTAACTACAAAGCATGCGCGCGCAACAGGTCGTTTCCAGTTATTTTTGGGTCTCCCCTCGTACACAAAACTGATTTTCAAATATGCTTCAAATCACATTTACTGCTATTTGAAACATTTAACTTAGCACTAGCTATGTTCACTAGACAAAAACCACTTCCAGAGAGGAAAATTGCATATAACTACACTACAGCTATTATATATTTCCTATTGCAGCATTACGAAGTGGCGCTGGGGCAGGTTTTCTCCGAGTACTTCAGTTTCCCCTGCCAATCTCCATTCCACCAATTGCTCCACAATCACCCTCACCTCTCAGCTGGGGCTGGTACAACGGGTAAGAAGTGGCCGCAGTACAAGGGACTTAGTCCCACCCTACTAGCAATTAGAAAAAAATTAATTAAAAAAAGTCTGCCAATCATTAAATGAACATTAATAATGACCACTTTCTTCTCAATCCGTTTGTAAACCAACAAAAACATACCAAACGACTATTTTAACATTATGCATGTAATCACACTAACAGTGAGAAAAATCATGAAAGGTTTTATTTCGGGTAATTTTTCACTATGCAGGATCCAAACAAACTTCAACTGAAGGCCTCACAGGGATAAGCTGAAACTTCATACGCTGCTTGGTCACTTAAAAATCCTTACTTAAACACGTGCTCATTGTTAACAATATATTGTCAAATTACATTACAATCCGCATAAGAAACGCGCTGAACATGATCAGTGCACGCATATACTTACGGACAAAAATGCCGTAACGATTCTATATACATATAAATAATAAATTGCAAATTACAATCTAAAAGTGCCCGTATGCAAATCAAGAAAAGAAATAATTACAAGATACACAAAATCACACAGACCTGTCAATTTTCAATGATTCATCACCCATCCATGGAATCAAATGCTTTCCCTGATCGATGAAAATTGCCTTTTCATCGTCACGAAAAAGTTTGCAGGAATATCCGAACACCAGAAGTTCATCTTCATCTTCCTTTTTGCGAAGGATTCCAGAGTCATTACTCAACCAAACCTGCCTACAAGCAGCCATTTTAATTTGTCCTGAGATTTGCACAATGCAAGTTTCCTTGCCTAGCAACGTTCATTTACTGCTATGGTTACATAGCGTAGACCTATGGGGCCTAAGTTTACAAGAGCCTGATCTTTGCATTGAACACAATGTTAATGTTTGCGTTTTTAATCTTTCTTCTTGTTTGGTGTTACTCGTTCCACCCTTCCACACCTCTAGTTTATCGACGTCTTCCTCAGACAGGTCCGACAGGTCCTTGGCTATTTGGCTATGAAGTTTATCAGGGAAATTAATATTCCCTGTGAATGTTATTGGCATACATCTACGGCACGGATCCCTGGTCTATAGGGTCTATAGTCACACGCACTCACGCTCATTTTAACCCTCCCCTTCACACCGGGGACCGAAAAAAAACCACACACACAAACACATGTTATGTTGGTAACTCTCAAATACTGAAATATAATGTTAGAGTTGGCAACATCGTAGTAAACAATTTAAGAATTAGGTTATTTCTTGTTACCTAAATGATGTTTACTGTTATGTGTAACTACAGTTACGTGTGTAACAACAGTATCTTTATATTGTTATGTGTTACTATGGTTATAAGCTTGTATGTGTATATAGGCGTACTTCTGTATCAAATTTCAGTGTCTTAATAAAGCAGGAGTAGAGTGAACACTGATTCTCACTTATCATTCGATCCACGTGGAAGCAACAAAAAAACAACACACACACACAATCTCTCTCTCTCTCCATTTACTAAACCGACAACCGTTAAGGTAACCGAATGTAAGGAAATTTCACTACTGAGGAGGGAAGAAAGATATAGGAGGGAAAAAGCGATTTATTAAAGTGTCTATCCTGTGTACTTGTGTAATATACGTAGTGCAATGATGATGGTGATCGGCCGTGTGTAAATATTGGGGAATATATTGAGTTTCTACATTAACTGAGTAAAAGGAAATATTAATCATGCCTGAGAACGAATACAGTGCAAGTGGAAGTACAGGTGATACGAGGGAAGAGCCTCCTGACAGGTCCCAACGACTAACAAATGACGATTTCAGGAGGTTATTAATGACGCCTAGGTCTTCAGTACCTTCTTCGCTACCTTCATCATTAGCGCCAGCTAGAGATGCCGTCACTGCTACTGCAGATGCAGAAGGTGATGATAGAGCTGAAAGACGGCGTAAAAAGAAAAGTTTTTATGCCAAGTTGAAGAAACAAGAAGATGACAAAATGGCAGAACTTGCAAAGAAATACCGTGATCGAGCAGGTGAGAGGCGAGATGGGGCCAACCCAGATTATCAAGCAGAAGATCCGCTTTCTACTGCAAGTGGCTACCGTGCAGTGGCACCAGATTTGAAATCTGGTTTGGATGCAGCAGAAAGGCGTCGCCAAATGATTCAAGAATCAAAGTTCTTGGGAGGTGACATGGAGCATACCCACTTGGTGAAAGGCTTAGATTATGCGTTGTTGCAGAAAGTTCGCAGTGAAATCCAAGCAAAAGAACAGGAGCAGGAAGAGGAAATGGAAAAGCTTGTAAAAACAAAAAAGGAAAAAAAGGACGATGAAGAAGAAATGCAATTCAAAACTAAGTTGGGACGGAATGTCTATAGAGCGCTTTTCAAGTTCAGAGCATCTGAAAAAAATGAGCTGTTTGCACCAGGCAGAATGGCATATGTGATAGATCTAGAAGATGAACTGGCAGAGAGTGACATCCCAACAACTTTGATTAGGAGTCGTGCTGATGTACCAAGTCTTGAGGCTACAGCCACCCTCACTACAAATGATATAGTCATCAACAAATTGGCTCAAATTCTGTCATATCTACGGCAAGGAGGTCGACACAGCAAAAAGTCAAGGAAGAAGGATAAAGGTAGAGGAGCTGGTGATAATAAGGGTGAGAGCAAAGGTGTGGTGGATGAAAGCATATATGGTGAGATTGGAGACTATATACCTTCACTGTCCAGACGGGAAGCTGGCAGTGGTGGAGACAAAGAACGAGAGAAACGACGGACTCCATACTTTGAGAAGCCTGCAGAGGAGGCAGCTGCTTGGGCTGCTGCTGAGGGGAAATCCAAGCCAGAACCACGTGCTACCTCAAAGTTGGAACAAGCTGACAAAATTCCAACAGTACCAAAAAGAGAAATGGGACAGAACCAAAGTCGTGCACAGCAGTTGTTGACAAGATTGGCAGCCGAACCAGAAGGATATGCTGAATGTTATCCAGGTCTTGAAGAAATGCAGGATGCTATTGATGATTCTGATGATGAAGTAGACTATACCAAAATGGACCTTGGTAATAAGAAGGGGCCAATTGGAAGATGGGACTTTGACACCCAGGAAGAATACAGTGATTACATGAATAACAAAGAGGCCTTACCAAAGGCTGCATTTCAGTATGGGGTCAAAATGGCTGATGGACGACGTACAAGGAAATACCACAAGGAGAAAAATGAAAAGGCAGAACTTGATAGGGAGTGGCAGAAGATTCAGAATATCATACAGAAGCGCAAGATTCCAGCACCAGCAGAATCAGAATTTAAGAAACCTAAATATTAAAGGGGATCTGTCATTGCTGTTTGGCTCAGAACAAGATTTGACTGAAAGTCTTCCCTTAATGATTGGAATTTATTATTTCAGTTCAATTTTGGACACACAGTAATTGTACCTATTTTAGCATAAAATGTATGATTTCATTGTTCCAAATATTTCCCATCAGATATATTCTGTTTTTACATCTATTTGAATGTTATGCGAAGTGTGAAATATAACATTACATGTCTCTTATCAGCAGAATGAAACATACAGTTAATTAATAAACTGGCTGAGGAAAATTAACTTTGTTGAAGAAGTTCATTTTGATACATTACTGTGAAGGCATACAGAAGTTACTAGTATAATTCAAGAGTTGGCAAACAATTAAGAAATTGTAAACATTCCAAAATTCTTGCTGGTGCTGAAAGACCTTCCAAGGGCACAAAGGTGATTGCTGGCATATGATTGACTATCCCTGCTGTAAGTGGATGCCAGGATAGCAGCTTCAGAATGGCTATGATTGCCTGCTCCTAAATCTTTATCTACTTCTAGGTATGCTATCTTCGTAGGTCATTTGATGCTACTAGCCTCTGAAATTGAAACACTATTTAACTGGATAACTTAGGAACAAGAATTCTTACTGTGTGGAAGGAGACCAAGACACAGATGGGAAGGCAATATAAAAATATATATTAGTGAAATAGGTTTTGAAGATGTGAATTGACTCTGGGTACATTTGTTTTGTTAGTGATGTGCATGGTATAAGCAGTTGGTTCCTGGATTGTTTGCAGTTTTACGACTGTTGCTGGGACAGAGCTCTGCTAGGTGGAGGAAGAGTAGATCGTGCTGCCATTTTCCATTCACCGTGTGAAGTGAGGTTGTGTATTGTGCCTGTTGGGATTTGCATTTTATCCAAAGTTTTGTTTCAGACTAGGCAAAACTGCCAAAGAAACCTACATGTTAAAACTTGCTTTTGGAGAGGAAACCATAAGTAGAAAAACATTTGATGGATTTTCAAAGTTCAGAAGTTGAATAATATCAGCTAACAATGCTGAGCAATTGGGATGTCCACCCATCCACGAAGAAAATGGATGAAAATATTTTACAAACCAGGGAACTTGCTCATGAAAACAGGCATTTCATAGTGATTTGACTACTGTTGTGGGACCTTCAGAGACCCACAGCTTACTAGATAACTCCCTCCCCCCACTGAAATTGATACTGAGGACAAGGAGATATATCTCAATTGAATAAAATCTGCAGGCTGCACTTGGCCAGTTTTAAACTTAGGACTTCAGCAAATGCTTACAACAGTGGCACAGTCACTAGACTTTCTTCATCTAGTTTCAAGGAAATTACTACCCACTAACAAAGGGAAGGCAAGGCAATTATGAGTGCCCACCAGCATGAACAGTGCAAGTTGAAAACAATGGCATAATTTTCTGTTGCCTCTTACCATTTCTGTTTATACCTTTGCAGCTCACTATGCTCTTACATGAATGATAAAAAGAGTGGTCAAGGCAAGCATTTGTATCCATCACTTGCCTCACCTTCTCTTTGCTGGAAGATATTACTTTGTACAGGACAGCATGAAATAGAAGGTAAATGCAGTTACTGGAGTGGGGGGGCAGTCCAGTAATTATTAGGTCACATACTTTGTGGGTGCACAGTGAAGGGAATTTCTTGGATATTAACTGCTAAAGAAAAATCTGCTATTAGAGTGTGTCCTGGTTACTGGGATTAAAAAAACATAACACATTAGAGTAGTTGTGCTGTATTAGTTTTGTATTTGAATTGGTGAATGCCATTTTCATATTGAAGGAACTTCACTTTGTTACTGTTCAGTTTCTAATGGTGGCATAATTGTTGGGAACCTCGAGTCTAATGCTTCCTAATCATAGAAATACTCTCTTTTCACCTAATTTGTATTTGAATTCTTAATTTAAAATTATTAGTTTATGTTAATTTCATATTGTATAGTGGACCAGTTGGCAATATAACACGTTTGTCTTGCACCTAGAAATTGTATGGTATTCTGTAATTATCAAGACAGCCAGATTTATAATTAGATTCACTTCTGCCATGATTATAGTTTGGAGCAGAACATGATGCACTTTGCCCATTTCGCTGTTAGTAACTGTCAGCCTTCTGCTAAAGTATTTTTCCAGCACTAATTGAATAGTCAAAATTTTGGAAATGTTACTATTCACCTTACCAGCTAGTACACTCCAGATGCATCCTATGGATGGCTGAAGGATATGTACCTGATGTATGTGTTTTAAAGTTCCAGTGTTACCACAAGCATAGCTTTATGTAAATACCTTTCCTGTGGAAAAATTGGTTAATAGCCTGAGTTGTGTAGCTTTTTGATCAATCTTTCTTGCTTCAGTAGAAATGGGTGTTATAGGCAGATTCTCCACTATACTATTAATGAGGTGCACTTCGACAGTAAACATATTTTTGTGACAGAATATTGAGAAATAATTATTTTATGTGTTTGTACATTGTAGTGTAGATTCTATAGATACCAGCACAAAAATAAATCATATGAGTTTGTATTTTCTTTGTACTGTGTCCTATTCTATATAGAATACCATGATATCACAAATTTGCATCAAAGACTTGATGCCATGAGTTGCTAGTTACTACGAGTATGTCTACATCACTGAATTCTGTGGTGTGTTACTGTTGTAAACACTTCCAAATAGTGGGTCTGTAGGTACAACATGCTGACATATTCCTCTTCCATTAGATTCCACAGCATGTCCATTTCATTCTTGACAAAACATGCTTGCTTACACATTTGCTGACAGGACAGTGTATCATAACTTTCAGTTATTCCAAATGATACCACACAAAATATGAAACATGCAAAATACTGCACTACAGTGGTTAGTGGTGCACTTGTTTCAAGAAAAGACTATAAACTTCTGTTACCCTCTTATTATAGTAATGCAGTAAGTATAAAGAAAACATGAATGTCAATAAATACTATACATATGCCAATTTTAGCAACCTGCATAAATAAAATGGCACTGAAATAATTTCTGTATACCAGTATCTTGCTGTCTGATAGAAGACAATCCAAAAATTCAAAACTTTTTAGCAAATTACATATCCATAAGAGTATTCTGTATGGAAATCATATCTCTGCCTAGAAATGTGAGAGCTACAATAATGAAGTCAGTAAAGTTATTTGTTTACATGTTGGATGGCTTGGGTTTGATTTCCAGTAGGAATACTGCAATTTTAACCTGTATCACCATATCTAAAATGACTTGAACCTCTAAGGAATATCAGGGGTAAAGCCGCTGGAGGACTGAAGCCACTCATTCACCTTCATGTGGTGCACAAGTTAAGTATAATACATGTGAAGTATTACCTCCACATCACAGTGCATCTTCATGGTATGGTTCTCAGGCAGAGGAAAAAAGTGGTGGTTTGTGAATCATATTACCCTTGTAAGAAGGATGTCAGGATGAATATTAAGCAGCAGGCCTGGATAGTTTTGATGGATAATGAGAGTGTGTCCACAGTACTTAAGGATCAGGGTGATGGACATGCATAAGGTGTTATATAATAAGATGCAAGACTCCACAACATAATACTACAAGTGTTTCTAAAAATACAGCTTAAAATCAGTGATAATACAAGTGAACTTAATAACTTAATTATTGTTCTTTACAGGCTAAAAGTGTCACATTATTCACAAAATGATGCTCTTCATATTTGTCTAAGTCGTATACATATGAGCCATAAGTGAGGAAGACAATACACAGAATGACGATGCAGATTACATTCATTCCAATGCCGGCTTTCATCTACAAGCAAGCAAAAGAAGCATATTAAGAGAAGAAAAAGAATACTGTGGTTATAAAATGAATGTAACCATGGTTGTAACATACATGGAACCCCGGTTAACTAGCTGATTTTTATGGTTTTTCTGAGCTACTGCATTAATTAAATAGAGCATGAATACGCTCTCCACATACCCGCTGTCTCATTTTTTGCTACTTAATTTCACCATTTTAAACAGCATCAAGTGAATTAATACAAAAATAAAGTCACAAAAATTATAAAATATTTGGGACATTCTATATAAATCCTTACGGTGCTAAACAAAGGAGGGCAGCATGGGTGGGGACATGTTGCAGTAACAGGGATATAAGAATACATACAAAATTGTATTTGGAAAACCTGCAACACCTAGATGTATAAGGGGATAATATTAAAATGGATCTTAAGGAAATACAGTGTGGACTAAATTTGTCTTGCTTAGTCCAGGGCTCAGTGGCTCTTTTGGAAACAGTAATGATTATTTGTGTTCCACAAAAGGCAAGGAATTCCTTGTCACAGCTTCCCAAGAACTTTTCTCCATGGAGTCAGCTACATAAAATCCAGGAGTGGCCCAGAAATTCCAGGGTTATTGTCACCCAAGGACAACCTGTGAGGGCTATGCTGAAAGTAATGAGCAGCATCAGTTTATATATGTTTTATGACCATAATGAGGATAGAGGTTATGCAGCTTATAGTTGCATCTGTCTTCTGTAATCTGAGATAAATTCCAGAACATGCACACCAATACCCATCCATAACCCCCACAACAAAATGGGTGTAAAAGCTGTATTGTTTCACAGACATGCTATGATTGAATTCCTTGTAAAGGAGAACAAATATGCTGCAAACATCTTTGATCCACTTCATCAGTCTATGGAGATCCCTGTATGAGTGCCAGCAATGTGAAGTGTTGGGTGAATTACTTCAAAGATGACAGAGACATGACCGATCTGTGTTGCAGTGATCGACCAAGACCCATCATCATGGAATGTAACAAGCAGAAAATTGATGCCCTCATCACAGATCACAAAAGGGCAATGGTTGAGGAAATTGTAGAGCTGTGTGGCATTGGACACAGTGTTGTGCAGAAGATGAAAAAGACTTTGGGATACCAGAAAGTGTTCTATGATTGGGTTCCCTAACTGCTGATGGATGAACACAAAAGACATGCATGGATATGTCATCGCAGTTACTTCACTGATAGGCTATGAAGAGTGGTGACTTCCTAGTGAAAATCTTGACTGGTAATGAAAGCTGGTTCCACCATTTTAACTTTAAACAAAATGACAGTGCATGGAATGGTATCATGTTGAATTTGCAAACAAGAAGAAGGCCAGAACCATACTCTCAGCTGGAAAAATAATGAGAATAGTTTTTTTGGGATACTCAGGCATGCATACTGATTCGTTTCCTGCTCAGAAAGGAGACTGTCAATGTACGTAGGTAAGTCAATAATTATCCGCAATGTAGCTATAACTTTTATTTAAATACAAATAGAAAACTTACATTAACATCATTTTTCAACATAGTCCCCTTGCTTTTCAACANGCATGCACCGCTTCCTTCACTTCTTGGTCCGAGGTGAATCGACGGCCCCTTAATGCCTCTTTGAGTGGACCAAACAAGTGGTAGTCAGAAGGGGCGAGATCAGGACTATACGGAGGATGAGCCATTACATCAAACTTGAGTTTCCAGAGGGTTTCAGCAGTGTGGGCAGCAGTATGTGGATGGGCATTGTCATGCAACAACACGACACCTTTTGACAGTAGTCCTCGGTGTCTGCTTCGAATTGCAGGCTTTAGCCTGTCAGTAAGCATCTCACTGTAATGATCACTGTTTATTGTTGTTCCCCTCTCCTGATAATGTTCCAGTACTGGGCCTTGTGAGTCCCAAAAAACTGTAAGCATCAGTTTTCCTGCGGATGGTTGGCTTTTGAACTTTTCTTGCTGGGCGATTGTGGATGTTTTCATTCCATACTCTGCCGTTTACTCTCTGGCTCGCAATGATGGATCCATGTTTCGTCACCAGTGATGATTCTGTCTAAGAAGACGTCACATTCGTTACCATAGCAATCCAAATGTTGTTGCCAGATGTCCAAGCACGTTTGTTTATGCAACACTGTGAGTTGTTTTGGGACCCATCTTGCACAGACTTTATGAAACCCAAGTCTGTTGTGGATGATTTCGTAGGCAGAACCATGACTAATTTGCAGACGATTTGCCACTTCATCAATAGTCACTCGTCTGTCTAACAGAACCATGTCAGGTGCACACTCAATGTTGTCCTCATTTGTGGCCATGAATGGTCGTCCGGCTCCTTCCTCATGCGTAACACTTGTGCGACCATTTTTTAATTTTTCAATCCATTCGTAGACACTCCATTGCAGCAAAACACTGTTCCTGTATTGTGCTGAAAGTCTTTGATGGATTGCGGCCCCTGATACACCTTCCGACCACAAAAACCGGATCACTGAACGTTGCTCTTCTTTGGTGCAAACAGAAAGCGGAGCAGCCATGATTAACGGCAAGGCAGCGACGATGGAACTGACCTAGCAACATCAAACCTGTGCAGAAATAATGATAAGGAAACCACGCATGGCGATGCTGCGCAAAATGACAGTGCTGCCAACAGAAACACAACTACAACTGCATTGCGGATAATTATTGACTTCCCCTCGTAGTTTGCCACATTCATATACTCTAGAAACTAATGTGAACTTCATGTCAAGCATCAAATGAAAAGGCACCTCATTCTTCAACAGAATAATTCATTCCCTCACATTGTACATTGGAGAACATAGCTGGGAAGTGCTCCCCCATCCTCCCTACAGTCTGGACTTGGCCCCTTGGGACTACCACCTGTTTAGGCTCATAAACGATAACATGAGGAGCCAATACTATGGCAATAATGAGGCCATCCAGCAAACCAAGCATACTTGGTTGCAAAATACTGAAACAGACTTCTTTCACCATGGTATATTTAAGTTCATGCAGTGCTGACAGAAATGGGTCGGTACTATGACAACAAGTGGTAGTCAGTCAAACCGTGCTTACACATCTGCAGAATACTGAAACAGTACTAAAGCAGTTGAGGCATAAAGCTGACCAATCACCACCAACTGGTGTTGAGGTTAAGAATTTGTTGATCTATACTTCCACTCCACCATATGTCTTCCTAGCATGGTGCTTAAGCACAGGGAGAGCACTTCACCTTTTTATTTTACCTTACCACTACCTAATTAGTTTCATACTACTACTGACCGATTAGTTTATCCATAACTCACCATGTCTGTTGTCTTCATATTGGATGCTGCAAGAACAATAGCATTAGGAGGAGTTGCCACAGGTAACATGAAGGCATAAGAACAACACAGAGTCGCTGGGATCATGAAATACAGAGGGTGGATTTTCATTGCCACAGCCTGCAAGAATCGATACACAAGCACCTGAACAGCCTTCACAAATGCTGGCAAGAAATGCACACTCCTCACCACTCATGATTAAGAACTTGTGGAGAACAGACAGTTAACACAAAAAGACTGAAAGCATAACGTAAATGGAAAACAGCTATTGTCACACACAGTGTGTAAGATATACTCATTTAATGAGCATTTGATTAACTGAACTGCCAACGTCACAACACAGTGCAGGCAGATAATTCCTTCGAGCTCAGTGCAAGTCATGCTTACATAATGCAGTTCTCCATATACTCTGCTTCGAGCTTCATCAACAACATACCAAAAATTTTTATATTTGTCTGTTCACATTTCTGCATCCTTCATGCTTATTAAAGATAAATTTTTAGTAAGATCTGAAATATCCATTCCAAATATAAGGCAACCAATTAACCAATGAGAAATATCCCATTGTTCACGGTACCATTCTCTCTATGAATACTTTAAATTTGAGAATACTAGTGTGATTACTTTACCATCTGGGCCAACACTGGTAAGATGATATTAGCAACTGCTGTATTGGATGACACTTCAGTAAGGAAAGTAGTTGCTGTTGCAACAATGATGAGTATTAAGAATGGAGGCAGCACTTGAAGGTAGACCAGTTCTTTACCCAGGTAAGTTGACAGACCTGATTCATTGCTAGCAGCTGCCATTGCAAAACCTCCACCTAATATTTAACATGAGATAAAATGAATTCCACAGAACAATAACATATGCTTTATTTAATTTTTAAGGAGGTGGGAGAAGCTTTTAAAATAAATAAATAAAGGCTACATTTCATTATGTGAATTAAAAAATTAACTACGCTGATAAAACAAACATTTCATCTCCTTCAGTAATGAAAATTTGCCAGACTCAACAATTCTGAAAAAAAAAAAAACTTCATACAATTTTAATAGCTCTGTACTGTATGTAATTTCCATGAATACAAATTATGGCTATTATGTTATCAATTACAATTTCAAAGTGTTCTACTGTTGCCATGTTTGTAACTGTTGACATGACAGCATGTTACATGTAAAATTCAAAGGTATGATTATAATCTAGTTTAATTCAAAATTTCACATGTACATCTCCGATGGTTCATTAGTGACATAAAAATCTGAAGCTTATAAAATAAGGAAAATAGGCTAAACCACTTCTTTCCCCATAACTCCAAACATTCTGGCAGAAATTGGGGGGTTGGTCCCATAATTCCTTTTCTAAAAACAGGCCTATTCTCAGCTGAAACTTACCCTTTCAAAAAGCATGAATGATGACAAAATACAGTGGATCCCTTTTAAGAAGTTTTCCAAGAAACCAAGAAATATACACTTTCTATCTGTTTGAGTAATTATGCATTGCTGAAATGATTTTCTTATTCTCCAGAACACTATTTAGTGTCAACATTGGCATGCAAAGTTATTGATTCTTGTAAGATTTGAGGCTTTCACGGCGGTGACTATGAAGAAAGCAGTCTTCTGGGATTTGGCACCGTGTATATGTGGTGTTAACCAACGTTTCGGAGGAACGTATCGCCACAGTCTGCTTTTACCAGTTCTCACAGTCTCCTCGCTTGCAGATTTCTTATATTTTTTCTTCTACCCTGAAGATGGAGGCGATACGCTCCTCCGAAACATCGGTTAACACCACATATACACGGTGCCAAATCCCAGAAGACTGCTTTCTTCATTTATTCTTAATCATTTCCATTTTCTCAGAAACTGCTAACACCTTACATTTTATGTTTGCTTTTGTAGCCATGCATACCTATATAATCCACAAGTTAGTTCACTCTCATGCAACTTTACAAAATTTAACACATTTGTAACCTTGCATACAATGACTATGCTACCAACTAGATGCACGGAGAAGGTTGTAAAGTCACTGCTAATTCTGCCCAACTCCAGCCACTCACTGAATGCTGCTTAGTGCTACAACATGTTTGATTTATGTAAGCATCTACTTTGTGTCTCGTTTGTTGCTGTATGTACGTAATGTATTCTGGCAGAAACCTGTTAAACGAATAAAATGTTCTATACATATATTTAAAATTGCTCTTCTTGGGCAGGGTATGTTTTTATGCGAGAAAGGGTTGAAACCTGATGAAAATACTTCTTTTGGCTTGTTTTGGACTTCACACATTGTCTGGTATGTAAAAGACAAAAGACCACGACGTTTCGGAGACTGGTTCTGTCTCCGTGTTCAGGTGGGTGAGGAAGGATAAACCTACTCAGTTGGGCCCGTTAGAAAGCGCTAGTCTCAATCACTGGACAAACCCTGGTCTGTACCAGTCCAGTGATTGAGACTAGCTCTTTCTAACGGGCCCAACTGAGTAGGTTTATCCTTCCCCACCCACCTGAAGACGGAGACAGATCCAGTCTCCGAAACATCATGGTCTTTTGTCTTTTACATACCAGATAATGGATGAAGTCCAAAAGAAGTTCAGTATACACCACTGTCAGAATCCTTTCAAGTCTATCTGATGAAAATACTTTACTCCTATGGTATTACTTTTGGTACCCAATGATTTTAACTTTCTTGGTGGGAAAACGTTTTAAACAGGATACTCTTTAGTGGGGTTCACTGTATCTGTAAACTGAAGACTTAACAAAATACAGCATAAAATTGCCTTTGGAGGGTATTGATAACAAAAAAGAAAGTATGTAAATGAAGGGATTAACTCTGAAGTTAAATTCATGTCATTACCTATATTTAGACACTAATGTTAATCTATTTAATATATTCTGACAGTTTAAGTATGAAAGAAATACTACACAGTGTGTCTAAAATAAAATTTCATGCAGCATGTTTTAACTTCAAAAATTCAGGAATGAATCACACACGCACATGTAGTTCCAGTGTATCAACATCTAGACTAAAATATTTTAAGATTATTACACTTACAATTATAGAAATTATTATAAGTACTAACCAAGTAGACAGACAAGACCCCAGGGCACCTTCTCATGAACAACCTTCCATGTGAGCAGCGCTGGTGCAGCTTTTGCTGGTCGTCTCTCTGTACAACACAAGCAACGTGGTGCCAAATTAAAAATTACACTCAAAATTTATTTAAGGTTGTCCTAATGATACCATTTCCTTGGGGGGGGGGCATGAGCAAAGTCAGAAAGGAGACTGAAGTATAAATCTTTCCAGCATCCAGTATTCCTTTCATAACATAACTAAATTTGTTCACAATATCAAGTTACAGGCTATTTTAGAAGCAAATCTAAGGTCAGAATAATCAGTATAAACATGAATCAAATCTGTATTTTGTGTACTCTTGGAAGAACCAACATGACAATAGAGTGAACCTTTATAAAATAATTGAAATCGCCCTTTATTAATATATCTATTTCATGCACTCCATGATATTTTGCAGGGGGTTGAAACAGTAACCCCATTAGGCCACATAATTACCTCATATTTGAATATGTTGATACCTCAGTTAAAAGAACAAGACAACAATAAAATGATACTAATTCTCAAAATAAATGTACAGACTATTTTAACTTTTCTGTGCTCAAGAGAGATAAAGTAAGAGAGGAATGGAAGATTCTATTTAACATGGCAATAGATGTCTTACACACCTCATCTAGTATTAAAATGGCATTTAAAACATGGAAATACACGTATTAGCTGAAGATGAAAAAATGTATGGGAGAAATGAAAATTATACAGGATTCCTTAGATGGCAGTCATTTAGAAGAATTGGGCATAAACTGGAAAGTCATATTAAATGGTAGCTTATGGAAATAGTTTGTGAGGATGTGGATTGGACAGAACTGAATCAGGATTGTCTTGATTTTAGTGATATGATGCAGTTTCTGTCTTCCCCATTCCTTCCAAAGTTACGTGTTCTGCACAGATGCTCCTTGAATTATCCGACAATTGTATTCCCCTCCTTCCAAAAAGAAGAAGGGTCACAGGGAGTGAAATTGCATAAATCAAGCAAACTTTCCCAAGTAGGAATCAATGGAAATGTCCAAGATATGCTATAAAAAGTAACATGATATTCTGCTGTTACTTCAACTAGTTGTTTGGTACAGCACAACACATCCTTTTCCTTCTTTTAGTAATATTTATGTCATTTTAGTATAAGTGAATTGTGTTTATAATTATTTAGTTTGTAAAAGAATGCTAGACACTGTTAAGAAATGAGCTGGAACAATGTTGAAATGTTTGCAAAATAGCTGTGCCACTGAGTCAGAAGTATTTTAATATTATATCATTAGTTATCCATCCCATTCTGCTGAAGTGCAGAAGAAGAGGTAAACAAGACTCTGATGTCCCACGAAAGGCCCTAGGATTTTCTGAATGATAGACTAGAAGTAGTTTAAATTTGTAATCACCAATTATTTCCACACAGCAAGACAGCGATTCCATTCTTGACAGCTTTGAACGTGGGGGCACTGGCTTTTTCTTTTGATATATAAGCTAGGCTTTGCATTGTTTTCCAGAACATCCTTGTTTCATGAAAGTTGAAGGTCTGTTCTAGTGAGTACCCTCTTTCCTTAACCATTTCCTTGAATTCTTCAGGAAATTTAGATGGTGCAACCCATCAACACTGTGTCTTTTTCACTAAGTTTCAAGTTATAAAAACTATGCCATTGATTGGGTCAATAAAACAAGCCACTGCTGGCATTAAACTCCTTTGCTTTTGTAGGAGAGCCATCACTCTTGACAGAATCATAAATATTTCTAAATTTTCATTGATGGTTGTGGGATCTACACATGACTGTCTTTTTGTCTGATTCAGTTTCAAAGCTGAAAACAATTTTCCATTGTATCAATTATTTCTGGTGTTGTTTTGAAATTATAGTTGTAATAACATATAATAAAATAGCACATGCACAATTATTTTATTTTTTATTCAGTATTACAAACATTCCTTAATGTAGATCCTTATATTCCTATGGAGTCAACAATGTCACATATTCACTTGTTTCTCTCACAGTGATGAATTATATCTAACTTTTATTCAAGATTTATTGATTTTCCTTCTTTCTCTTCTGATTCTTTCTCACCACTAGCAGAATGTTTCTTACCCTTTTGATTCCCTATTATAGAATTATTTTAAATGATGAGCCCTTCTTTGGAAGCTGCCAGTTGTATGGTTACTCAAGAATTTTCCTTCTTTCTCTTCTGATTCTTTCTCACCACTAGCAGAATGTTTCTTACCCTTTTGATTCCCTATTATAGAATTATTTTAAATGATGAGCCCTTCTTTGGAAGCTGCCAGTTGTATGGTTACTCAAGAATTTTCCAATATTTTAAGGAACACAAAGTTTCCTTACTGTGTTCACAAGAGTCCTCCAATGTTCCCTATCCTGACCCAGATCAACCCATTCCACACTGCCCCATCCTATCTCTCTAAGATCAAATTTAATATTATCCGCCCACCTAAATCTAGGTCTTCCTCATGGTCTCCTTCCAATTCTCCCACAATCATACATGCATTCCTGTTATCCCCATTTGCACTACATTCCCTACCCATCTCATCATCCTTGACTCGATCATTCTATTATATTTGGTGAAGAGTACAAGTTATCAAGCACCTCATTATAAAGTTTTCTCCAATTTTTTAAGGTATAATAACTGAATAAAACAAAATGTGAATAAAACTTCAGAAATTGAGGCCACTTGAATTATAAATAAATAGTGTACTGAATATTTCCTCATCCTTCCAAAGAGCACCAGCAGCAGAGGCATATGAGAGGTCGCATGGGCAGGCCAAATTTTACTTCTCCCCTTTCATTCCTCCTCTGCCACCCACACAGTACTCTGCTCCAATATCTCCCCACCTCTTTCAATCAGCCAGTAAGCAATTCACATTAAAGTGAGTGCTGTTACTTGAAATTGTTCTAAATTATTTGAATGCATCATATGAAATCACATCTTCAAAACTGTATAATGAGGAGTACCTGTACTTTGGGAAAAATGTGGTAACTCTATAGTATGTGTTAGCAAAATTTGTTAAAATTATTTTAAAACGTTTAAAATATTGGTCATTTGCTTATTTATGGAGCTGAGCCCTTCTTCAGGAGAAGCCAAATCTGCAGCTACTCAAGAATTTCCCAGCATTTTATGGAACCAAAGGTTCATTACCATGTTCACAAGAGCCCTCCACTGGTCCCTATCCTGAACCAGATCAATCCAATCCATATCATCTCATCTTATCTCTCTAAGATCCATTTTAATATTGTCCACCCACCTACGCCTTGGTCTTCTCAGTGGTCTCTTTCCTTCTGTCTTTCCCACCAATATCCTATATGCATTCCTTTTCTCCCAATTCGTGCTACTTGCCATGCCTACCTCATCCTCCTTGACTTGATCATTCTAATTATACTTTGAGAAGAGTGCAAGTTATGAATCTCCTCATTATGCAGTTTTTGGCAACCTCCTGTCACTTCATCCCTCTTCGGCCCTCAAACACCCTCAGTCTATGTTCCTCCCTTAATGTCAGAGACCAAGTTTCACATCCATACAGAAACACAGGCAAAATTATAGTTCTGTATATTCTGTTTTTGGACAGCAGACAAGAAGACAAAAGGTTCTGGACTGAATGGTAGCAAGCATTACCTGAGTTCAATCTCCTCTTTTTCTCCTGAATTAGGTTTTGATTTGTTATCGTCATTCCCAAATATCTGAACTGTGCCACATTTTCAAAACATCTGTTTTCTATTGTTAAGTCATGATTTTGGCATAGACCAACAGCTGATATGTCCTGTTTAATTTCAGTCCCACCTGGTTTTCCTGGACCTTCCTAATGGCATATTCTAAAGCAAAGTTGAAAAGGAGTGGCGATAAAGCGTCCCCTTGCCTTAGACCATTCTGGATAGGAAATTTATCAGACAAATCTTTACCTAGAACTTTACTATAAGTTTCATTTAAACACATTTTAATCAGATTAAACAGTTTCATTGGTATCCCATACTCTTATTGTACAATACTTCCCTCCTACCTGAATTATAGGCTTTCTTGAAGTCTACATACAGCCCATGTACTGTCTCATTGTACTCCAATTTTAAAATATTGGTTAGAAAAGTTAAATAAATTTAATTAACCTGAAGGCAGGGGAGATGGGGCTTTAAATTAATTGACGTATGTAACCTTGGACTGAAATGTTCTAATCAAATTATATTCAAACTCAGTAATTATGCAAAATATGAAACTGTACTGTTCATTACTTGAGTAATTTTGCTTGGTGTAGGAATCCTTGCACAAATCAACACAAAGGCCAAAATTCCCATTACTGTATTAACCTCAGCATAATATAAATTTCAATTTCATTCTGTCAGTGGTTCCCAAGCCAACAGTGAAGATTTTATAGACTGTTTTGCATAATTGTTGCTCTGTCCTCCACATATTGAAAATGGTTCAGACATTTTAAACTGTCATTTATGTCCTTTGCTGCACCCTGAGCCTCAAATCCGAAAGTGAAAAATTTCCTGTTCTATATAATTTGACATGCCACTCACACAAAGCCTCTATTATTGTCACCACTCTCCACCTCTTCTTTTTGTGCATCATCCTTCATTAATGTGTCAGTTAACACATAATCATCAAATATTATTTTCAGTGTCATTCTGAATCTAATAAAGTGTTAATTAATTGTATTCAAGGAGAGAAAACAGAATTGCGGCCTTAACTGAGCTGTTAATTCTTTATTTATTTAATCAGATGAAAAGTTGATTTCTGAGAAGTGTAATGCAAATTTTAGCATTACAGTTATTCCTGAAACTGACTTACCACTAGAATTGAACTGCAGGAAGTCTAGGTTTGCTGGTAGCACGAACAACAGGAATACAATTAGCATGACTGGGGTAGCATCATCAATTTCACTGAAAAATAACAACACATACATCCAAAATTACCTTCATAATTAAACCTTCAGTTCTGAATAAAATTTATTATTATTTTAAAAGCAAGATGGTTTCTGATGTCATTGTGTCCACATATCTTGTATCTATGTCTCTCCCTCTTCACAACTTACAAACCAACTGAAGATTGACATTATATTCTGGGTGATTATCTTGTAACTGAAGGCATTTCAACATTTGTACTGTACTTCCTCATTACGTGCCAACATGGCAACCATGTGTCACTTGATGAATGGCTTTATGATTTATGGAAAACAAGAGCTTTAAAATGAAGCTTGTACCGAGTCTCATATTTAAAAAGAAAAAAAAATCATCTTATTGCTTTTTTTATAGCAAATGATGATAATATGTGAGAAAAATTAAATTAGAATTGTTTGCAGTCTGGCTTGATTTTCAGAGTCATAAATAAGTAATATAACTAAACATAACACAAAGATATATCAATGTCAACTTATTTTAAACCTCCCCCTACACAATAAAATGGCCAATCATTTGTGTTAGGACCAAAATTTACTTTTTTTATTAACATATTTCCTTCATCACATGTCTGTGGTGTGTATATGGACCTTAACTGTCAGAACTTCGTAGTTTGTACATACGTTCTCTTTAAAACACAAAAAAAAAATAAAAGGGAGATAAACATTTCATTATTTGAACAGAATAAAAAGTTGGCTTTCCTTTTCTTTGCAAGGGTAGTATTTCATTGTTTTCATTACTAAAATCAAATAATAAGAAACAAATGGATAACTTTACTTATTTAAACATAGTTAAAAATCATAGTTGGCTTTAAAATAATCCATATCCTTTTATTACTTCTTCAGTAACAAAACGTTCCTTTGGTGTATGACATATATATGAGCATGTCCATTTATATTTATACAATGAATGTGTACTCTTCTTTTATATACTTCATTCACTGACAGTTTATTCCAGAGTAAACGAACACTTTTGCAGCCTTCCATACAATATTTTGTTGATTGGTTCCCAAGCTCACACTATTTCTTTCTTACTAAGAACAGCACAGTTGCAGGTTAACATATGACTGTCAGGACATATATCTATATCTAGTTATCAGGCAGAGGTTTTCTGTGTTTGAATTCAGCATAAAGGTATCACAGTGTTAAAGCAACACAACTACATATTTACTTACATTAAAAATTCAGAACTCTCAAAGACAGGGGTGCATCCCTTCTAACTCTAACAGAGTAAAGTTCATTGCTACTAGTTTTCTCCAGAAAGTTTATAATCATCATGATTACCACATTATCAGTCTGATCATTCAGCTCGCACATTTTCCCTTCACCTTGGCAACTTGATTCATAGTGCCATGCCATCATCCCCACCTTTTTTTTTCTTTATTATCAGTGCTACCTCCACTGAATGACAGATATTGACTCTTTCTTCATGGAAGAGACTATCACTAATGTATGCATATCATTTCTCAAAATTAAGCTACGCTTATTTTAATTACTAATCTATTCTTGATATTTTGCAGTGATAAATGTATGGCTGTGTTGTTTTGTTTATACAGATTTGTCTTTCTTACATAAGTAATATATTTTAAATGAAAGCACTGCTTCTTTAACTCTACATATTCCAAAACTGTCTTGCTTCAGTAACTGACTGTAACTGTAATGAGACTACGCCTGAAAATTATGATTTGTTTTTGAAGGGCACCATACAGGTCGATATAAGTAACAATACCATGCATTGTGATGCATTTCAAGAGACTGTCAACTTTTAGGTATCATCATATCCTGAATATGATGGGATCCTCTACATGCATCATAACCATATGCTGATTGAAAATGTCTGTTGAAACATTCCCACATGTTTCATTCTACATCATGTTACTGTATGATGATACATTTAGTGCTACTTGCATCAATATGTATAGGACCCTTTAAAGAAAGCTTGATTTCTTAAATGTATAATACTCACACCGAAGCAACAATTTGAGCCCATCCTGATATAAACTCTGGTTTCCTGAAGAACCAAAGAAACACAGCAATAATGAAGAGTATTAGGACTGAGCCTTCATGGAAAGTCATTGGTCCTAACGCTTTGTATTTTACACTAATGACCTCTCTTACTATTTTGGCTTGTTCTTCACTTGTTTTCTTTTTGTCTTCTTTCTTTTTTCTGAAAAATTAAAGTGCAGAACAAAATCAAAGAATTAGATATCAATTCCTCTACTGGTAGTTTAAAATGTACAATTGTTCTAGACTCTATGTTCCCATTTAGTATACAAAATATTTTTCTTTACAAAAATAAGTTCTTCATTGTTCAAGATCTTATACCTTGTTATTCACTGACATCATTTTTAACTTCAGCAGTATCTTAACATGTCTTTTAACATAGTTACAACTTCTACCTGGTCAGGAAATTTCTGGGACTTACTGTATAACAAAGATGTATCATAACTGCATATTCCTTATTTTAAGTGTTGTAGAGTTCTGTGAAACTCTGTGTGTGTGTGTGTGTGTGTGTGTGTGTGTGTGTGCGTGTGTGCGCACGCATGCACGCATGTGTGTATGAATGCGCATGCATACATTGTATTGTATTTTATTTCATCTGTTTTGCTACATAGTAACACTTGGACAAGTCATTCGGTAATACAAGTTAACAAAATAAATCTACAAAGTTACAAGCATACTACCAACATTTGTTACAATCATAAGCAATATATAAATACAACATTCCAACAAATATACAAAGTACAATATACAGCTCATGAATGGCTATGACATCCAAACATAAGTACTTGCACCATCCATTTTTTATTAAAACTAACAAATTCATTTATCGTATAAAAAGAATGTTTCAGTAAGATGAATTTTAAGTCTTTTTTAAAAGCTGAAAACCCCACTGAGTTTTTTATTTTGTTTGGAACCTTACTATACAATTCTATCCCCATATTTATCACACTTTTTTTAAATAATGTAGTTCTGCAGAATTGAGCATGAAATTCTTTGTTTATTCTTGTATTATAACTATAAATATTTATATTTTGGATCAAATCTGCTTTGTGCTTTTTTATGTAACATAACACCTCTAAGACATACAAAGATGTGGCCGTGAGGATGCAAATGGATGCATGCATGTATGTATACACACCGATACATACCGAATAAAAATATCCTAATTAGCTGGGGCCTACCAGCAAGAGGCACAGTGAACATGGATATATAACATTTACCTGAACAAACTCATGAACAGAATCTGAAGCCAGATCCAAGCAGCCAGCATATTTATTAACATCAGTGGTGCACCAAAAATAAACCAACTTGCGAAGTTCACTCCACCAGCTACTGGAAATGTTCTGTAGTAAAGAATGCAAGTCAAAATTAAAAAAATGTTAACTTCTCATTGAGGAAGAATGTTTAAAATTGTGGGATTATAGTCACGGTCAAATTAACATTTTTTTATATCCAGGAAAGATAAATCCAATGTGCAGTTCCTGGATTCAAGCAAAACAAAAATGGCATGAAAGTAAAGCAGGGAATATAAAATGGAAACATGGTAAATTATGTGGATTTGACTATACCACAAATCAAACCACACTGCAACCATCTCATTATGAGGCAAGGTCTCACAACAAGCAATGGTGAGTGCTACTCTAGCATAGATCAGAACACTCTCACAGCTGCTGATCTATATGCAGCAGTTCCACACATCCTTCTGTCAATCATGCTTATCATCTCTCTTATGCTATTCCTGTAGAAAAAATGTAGAAGTCCAGAAATACTGAAAATCCCTTAATAGTGATACAGATTCAAATCACCTAGTCATTCTTATGATTCTTTGAAGCATTAAGTTTAAAGAGAAAAAGTAAAGGGAACAATATTTATTTTCATTAGTTTGTTCCAGAACACATTTGGATATAACTGATGAAGTGTTAGTCAAATAATCCTTTCCTTTTAAACAGTTTATGCCAGAGATAAAAAAGTAAAAGTAAAAAACCCTGCTTCCCTGGATCATAACGTAAAAGTACTTTAAACAGTTAATCAAGGCAGAATGGGCATTTGTTAATGTTCTGGAGAGTAAAAATCTATTTCTTAATTGTACAAATGTATTCATTATTTACACATTAATAAATCTTATATCCATGCCACAATTACAGCACAAAATTATGCATGTAATTCAAATGTCACCAACTTCAGAAATAACTGCACTTTAACCAAACAGTACTTACCTTGCAGTACATGTAAGGTACAATAATAACCTGTTTCTTTTTAGAAAAAGAAACAGCACTTTGTGATAGTAAAATATCCCATACTGAAAAAAAAATATCAAACTTGTGTAGATTTGGAGTTAAAGGAAATAAAAACTAAGAGTCGGTTAAAAAACTTAAAATTTTAGTTTTATATAAATAATTCTGTTAAGTAATTGTCATACTGCACACTGAGAAACAATTCGTTTGCATTTTAATTGCTTAGTGTCATGTAGCAAAGCATGTCATATTCTATCTAAGTGTTGATAAACATGCCAATTTCATGTATATGAACTTAGTTAGTTATTAGAGAGGGTGGGTTTCCCCATGCACTTAGACCTGTAGTGGTCCATTGTGCTTCCCTCTATGATTTCTACCAGCCTCTATATCCTACCGGTATTGGTGCTTACCATCAGTCCCGCCCAGCCAGCGAGACCGGCTCTACTGGCTGAGAAGTATCTATAATGCTTCCCCCATCTACTGGAGGTATTAGTGACTGCTGTTGGGCAGCAAACCTCCTTTGGAGGTATGAGGTTCTTTTACGTGCCGTAAAGCTACGACACGGGACCCACGGCTTAAAGTCCCTCCCAGAGGACTTGTTCCCTGAATTTTTCCGCCCTTAAAAATTCGATGACCTCCGCCGGGTATTTGAACCCGGGTACTACGAGTCATGAGGTGGGAACGTTACCTCTAGACCACGGAGGCCGCTCCTGTATGTGAACTTAGAATAAGTACATCAATTAACCCTTTCAGTGCCACTCTCCAAAGACTTCTTAAGTGTACAATTTTTGTTGAATCTGCTGGAATTAATAAAAAATTTAGACAAAAAAAATTATGTTATGTAATCTTGAAGTATGAAACAGTCTGTTATTTAAATTTTGTATAGAAACAAAAATGGATGTTATTTTTTATGCATATGATCTAACTGATGATGACAATTCACACAATTCAATCAATCTGGGCACTACAAATATCAAATTTAGCTTGAAAGATCAACTATAATCCCCAAAGTACTTAAAAAGAGGGCCAAATGATAGGACATACATCCTATGACATTGATGTGTGGAATAAAACGTTTATAATATGAAATTATTCCACTAAAACCAAGGAAATCGATCAGTAAATTAAATCAAATAAACTGATCTTCAGACATTTATTCCCCACATGAAAAATTATTCAAAAAGGTCATCGGACTCACGTGTCCCATATTCCCTTGAAGGTGAGATTGGTTCCTGTTCCAGTCAGTGTGCCAGCTCCACCCAGGTTTGATGCATATGCCACACCCAGGTAGTAGCAAATGTCAGATTTCTCTGGACGATCATCCTGCCTGGAATTAATAAGTGTGAATTCATATATTCTGTTACATTTCTTGAAGTGAGGGGCCTGTTAAAAACCATGCAGCAAAAACTATATTACTGAACATTGTTACTGAACAACATAAATTTTGTCCTTTTCAGTTCTAAGCCCTTCCTTCCATTCCAATTAAGTACCTTCTTCTACATTCCCCCTCATGTTTCAAGGAATCTGAACCTCAGAATTTTTCCTTCAGGCATAATCCTTATAGGGTGCGAATTTAGTCAAATTACGCTTTCTTATAAGATACAGAGATAGCTGAAAATTTTTCAGATAATTATGCTATGTTATACTTTGGGTAGGAGAGTTTCGTTATATTTGTTTTTTTTTTCCTTGCATTATCTTTAGGTTTGTTTCTTTCACTGTTACTCGTTTGTTTACATTTTTCTTGCAAACTTGTGGTTAAACAATCGATGTGAATTTAAAGATGAAACAAATTTTCCACACAGAAACAACTTGCTCTGAGGTGTTTTGTAACGTAAATTGTTACACAGTCATTGGGCAATATAATAATTTTAAAATTCTTATTTTAGTCGACATCAAGTTTTCACCCAGATAAGTTGTTTTTCTTATATCCAATATTATTGGCTGTCAGATATGGTGTTCATATAATCAAAATCTGACATACATGACTTACTCATAGTCACACTGGTACACAGATTTCCGACGCGTCTCAGGATCAAATGCACCACTAGCGTGTTCAGAATCAGCAGTGTTTATTGATGATGTTCGATGTCTGTTCTCCACATCTTTATTCTGAAACAAAGAACAACAAAATTATACTTCTAAATCATAGTTCTGACAGATGTTCATGAAGAATGTTCATCCTCTTACCTGAGGAAGAATTTAAGCTCCAGTATTTAATTAAACATTTATGACATTATAATTATTTATACTTGTAAATATTGCAGCATGTAATCCCCTTACTAGGTAGCGATCATGAAACAAACAGGTTTCCATGGCAACTAGTTCACATGCAACAATTGAGGAACTGTAAGAAACGGTATTATCTGCACAGTCTGTGCTGAGATGTTATAACTGAGGCATATTTAAAAGTTTTGCATTATTATTCTTAGTGGGGTGAGACTTGAGTCCACTTGGTACTGTGGCCACTACTGACCTATTGTACCAGCCCCAGATGATAGAAGATGGTGACTGTGGAGCAACTGGTGAAATGAAGATTGACAGGAAAAACCGAAGAACTCGGAGAAAACCCGCCCCATCGCCACTTTGTCCACCACAAATCCCAAATTACCAGACCCAGGCTCAAACCCGGGCTGTCGCATTGGGGAACCAGCGACTAACTTGCTGAGCTATGGTGAGGCCTAAGTTTAGAAGTTAGTCAGTTGTAAGGGAGTCTGTGAAGAGAAGACTTAGTCAGTGCAGTTGAGAACCAGCAGGCAACTAAGTGAGCACGGAAGCTGGAGAATCTCCACTGTTCAAAGCTGTTACCAGGGAACAGCTGGTGAAGACACAGCAGACTGAAAAGACTTAGCATGTGCTGTAATTATTTGTAAAATATTGAGATCAGCAATGGCACTATAATTAAGTGTAATCATGAGTCGTGTGTTAAAATGGTCAATAAATCTAATCTTAAATCTAAAACATGTCTATAGTCACTCATACATATGACAATATTTACTAAGTCTTATTGAATTATAAAGAAATTGCAATATACCAAGTATAAAAACTGTCCTGCACTGTCACATACCACTGATATCAAAATGATCAAATAAACTCTGCTCACTTGAACCTACAGTCTTTGTGCTACTATCCACCTACTGTGTGAGACCTGGCCATTTTCCACAATATCTATAGTGATATTCAGCCATAATTCAAGTGCAGACTACTGCTCTAGTCTCAGCATCTAGTAGAACATTTAACATATACTACATACAACTTAAAATATACAGTCACATATTAGTTACTATAAATATGGATTGGATTGATAATTGCTTTATTGACCAGTTATGCTTTGTAGCTACAAATAACTGTAACAGTCTAACTTACACAATCTAAATCACTACATCTACAGCACATACTAAGTCTTCTCACTCTGTTATGTCTCCAATAGTCGTTGTTAGGTGGCAGCTTCTAACAATGCAACTCAAGGCCCTAACCTCCGACTCTGACCTCCAGCTTTCAACCAACTGTCAGTTTCCAGCTCATGACTCATGACTTCCAAGCTATGACTATCTGTCAAGTCAGCTGGTATCCTTAGTATATAACTATGGCATGGACCACAAAGGAAAAACTGCTTCCAAAAATTCCTCTATCGATGAGAGACGTGTTAATCAGGCTGTTGCCTAGCAATGGCCCAGGTATTTTTGATGAGGGGGACATGTTTTGGTTGCTGTATACATGTGTTTACAGGCTGTTGCTTTATAATAGATGACTTTTGTTGACAAATTATTCTGGCTTTCAGCCACCATATCACATTATGTCAGAACTACAGAAGTAACTTTGATATTTCCTTTAAGATTTCTCATCATTCTTTCAGCCAACTGCCAAATTTTGTGCTAAATTTTTTAACCTCTCAGTTCTTGAATAGTGAAGCAAGAGAAACATAAGATCTTAAATTCTAGTAACACACAATTTTTGGAAATAATGTTGGCAAGAAATTATTTCAGCATGTCACCTTGAACTGCTAAGGTGGAAACTGGATTTTCCACTCATTTATGTAGAAATAAATGTTTTGAGTAAAATTAATAATATGAACAACACCAATGTGATATTAATAATAATGATCATAAATGTCCATTCCCCTTTCACTTTATTACATTAATAAGAAAAATAAGGGCAATAAAGAAGAAGAATATTAGGGAACCACTCTTTAAGTAATTCTGAACAAAAAAGTTTTAGTAAACCTCCAATGAGCGTAAAAAATGAAAAGTTTTGTTGGTGTTACAGGTGTGAACAGAGTAGTTATACATAGGATTGTCTGTTACTTGACTGCCTTGTCAGAGTATGTGAAAAATGTTTGTAAATTTAGATTTGTCTGTCAGTTGACTTGCCCTAATGTAATAGCTTTAATCTTCCAGGCTGTTTCAGTCTACCAACCTGACTAATTTTTCTGTGATGTCAATATCAGAAATAATTCTGACTAATAATTTTACAATGACATATAATGGCAAGCAATGCATTAGCATAAATGGAGCACCTGATGATGGCACTATGTTGCCGAAACATTTTGGAAATAACAGGTGAAATTGAGTGCACTACAAGACGGACACTGCATACATATCATGGACAAACATTATTTTGAAAACTACCAACAATTGTTTAGCCTACTTTCCATCCTTTAAAGATATGGCTTATGAGATTGTCATGCTGTCATGTATATGGCCCCCTTACAACTTTTGAACCTGCTGACCAATTTCAATGAATTGTAGTGTGTATGTTATGTCACTGGAAGCCACCCCTAACTTACATATTTTTTATTACCTATAATCAGTAATAACAACAGGACAGATGCATGAACATGTGTGGTGAGAGAGACACTACCACCACTTAATATATGGTCCTCAAATGGTCTGTGATTATGTATCTTAAACAGTATTCAGTTCCAAACAGAAGTTAAAATTTATTTTCATTTCTCTTCATTTCCTTCAAAGTAGCATATTAAATATTTTAAAACGTAAATCTGACAACCTTAAATATGAAACCCACTGCACTACAATCATGTCCTGAAAATAAAGTGCTAGTTATACTGAGTCTTCATGAGATCTGGTACAGTCTGGAGTTTGTTAGTTACAGGCTGGTGTTACACATTAAAATGAAGCTGACATAACTAATGGTCATGGTGCAAGGGCCAACAGTTAGGCCCACCCCTTATGTAAGTAAGTTCACACAAACAATTGACCTGTTGTTTTCCTGTTATGCATTAAGAAGCTTCTCATTATTTTCATCATCACAAGAACTACATTAGGTCTTTCTTTGTTGCTGATGGGACAACATAATTAATGAGTCCAGTCTGATATTCACAGAACAGAAATATAAACTTCAAAGTCTGTATTCTGGTATAAACAAGAACAGCATTCTTTGCGTAGATTATATCCCATAGATGCGTTTCTTTGTAAGAGAACATCAGTTCAAGTAATTCAACATTCCAGTAAATTCACTGGTTTCTTAAAGAATCTTGGGGAATTTACCACTACCAAACAATTCTAATGGCCTTCTCACTTCACACGCTTTATAGATAATGTTCCCTGTACGCATATTATTTTTATAAATTTCAGCTCATAAAAGAATTCACTCAAACACGTATTACAATTACAAATTAATTCGGTAGTACATGAAGAGGGGATACTGTACTGTGAAACAAATATTAATGTATCTGCTATAGGAATGAAAGTCTGTAGATCATGGGAATCTGTCATGTTTCTGAGAGGACAAAGTTCTAACAGTCTACAAACATCAGTATTAAAGACTATATGTTACTAAGTTTTACAAAGTTGTGCATGAATATCAAGAGACGTGACTATCAGCTTCTGAAATAGGAATTTACTCCATGTAGTTATTTAGTTAGTTATCTATTAATTCTGTATCATCAACACCAATACAAGAGATGAGCAAACTTGTGAGGTGGAAACAACACTTACAACACTTACAACATTGAACACATAACACTACTGATGTTCTATGTACAGATTAGAAGTTTTGTACAGAGATAAATGATTAAAAAATGCATAATTTTACTACAGTGATTTTATAAAATAACATGGTGATCACAAGAAATACTTCAGTTTTGTCATAGTAACTGACAAGTCATTGTTACTTGAAATGTGAAATTGTATGAAGACATGTTATATAAATATGTGCTATGATCAATTTACTAGGATTATTACTAATAAAACATAATCGTTTGGAACCCTAGAATATACTAGCTAATAAGGGTGCTTTCAATATTTGTTTCAGTTTTGATCAGTGACTTCAGTATGATGATACTTTCTATTCCCAATTGGGAAACCGCAACACTCAATGCAGCTACTATGCCTTTGAACTTTTTCTATCGTGCAGCAGTCAAAAGCCCTTTACTACAGCTTCTGCATTAAGAACAGGCCACCCTCTGAAGTTTTAACCACTAATGGCTCTACCAATCTAATGTTACCCTGCATTCATGTCTATTCACTGGCTATTTAGCAAAGCTGTATCAACTGCACAGCATCATATAGGATAATAATAGAATGGTAATATACAGTAAACTCCTGGTTATCCATTATTGAAGCATGTAGAATTCTCATCCAACTACCATAAATTTCAAAGAAAATTTACCATTATTAAAAAGTTATATCCTCTATAGGGTAGTTCTCCCAGCCACCACTAGCAGTGCTATCCATCATCCTCCCTCACATAGGTGCCTTCACAGTAGAGGTTAGTTCAATTTGTGGTAATATTACAGTTTATGTATCAAAAAAGCTTGCAACCATCAATTTACTCTGTTATATTAGAAGACTCCTATGCAAAAACTAAAGCAAAAACAAGTTGTTTTAAGTTTGTATTGGGTTTCTGCATGAATTTGCTCATGCAGCCTGCAGACCCCATTTCCCATATGTGCCAGATAACAGGGTATAAATATATATGTTGAACTGAAAAAAACGTCATGAAAGAAGAGGTCATGACTGTACATGAAGTAATGAAGTAATTTTCTTAACATTCACTGGGAGGGATCAAGGGAAGTCACAAAAAATTCTCATATTATCCAGTGCTTCAGGCAAAATATAAGTCAGGTACAATGAAAAAGTATAAAAAAACTTAGTTCTGTCCTTGGGTTACTACCCTAACCTAATGGGGAGGTGTGCAAGCTTTGATCACCTGGAAAGCTATACTGGATGGTTTTTAAGCTCATGGTAGGTTCACACATGCTAAGTTGAAGGGAGAGGCCAAGCAAAAGGTAGTCCTTAGTCCTCCAAGTTGAGAGTTGGGCATGAAGCTAACAACATCATCTCAGAAAACTGTATATTAAGAAATGCAATGATGGATGCTGAATGAGAGAAGAATGGGCACCTGCAATGAAGAATGTCAAGGTTCTTAGAGAATTCTAGAGCCAAGGAGTAAGTAAGTAACACAGTGTCTGCTACATTTTTCCCACTATTAGGAACAGACTGTTGTTTGTATGATAACAGTATCTACATTACCCCAATATACATTACAACACTGTTGCCATAAGAGCAACACTTAATGTTAGAGGAGTCATGTATGGTATGGGTGTAAAGTAAAATCTCACAGAAAGGGGTGGCAGCAGTGATTTTACTTACTTGTTTCAGTTCATCCAGAACGGCCTTGACAATGGGGGTCATCATTGCAGTGGTAGCAGTGTTGGAAATCCACATGGACAAGGTCATTGTGGTAACCATGAATCCTAGCAACAATCTGGAAATTATAATGTAACCTTCAAAAATAAACACACTGATTAAAACAGAGACACTTGATGCTGTATGCACCAAAACTCTCAGTATCTTATCTAATAAGCCCGAGTACATGACAACAATATACTATGACCAAATTAATTTTGCTTAAAATTACTTTCAGTGTTGAATTAAAGTTTGATGTGTTCTTCCCATCAGTACATTTGAAGCAAGAATTGTTTACCTCCTATTATCACAAGCCCAAAATCTATCAATATGGGATAATCTCAATAGAATTACATTTTTTGGAAATAAAGTATAGGAACTATGTTCCCTAATGACCACAAACAAGTTTCTACCATATGGTACACACAATTTTTACATTACTTATGCACAGACTTACATAACATTCTCACAGATTTTTACACCCTTAGAATAATTGAAGATTTGGATTTTGATAAATTTCTGGAACAGTAAATTTCATTTTATACCTTTGTTATATATTTACAACTATTTTGTATTTTAGTTGTTAGGTATTCAGGTGTATTTGTTCTTGTAGGGTAGTCTGTTATTATAATCAATAGTTACAGAACATATAATTAATAAGGCCGAATGAAGACATCTTAATGAGGCAGAATCAAAACAAGTAAAACATTCTTCCAAAACGAAGTAAGAACTCTACCAGTGTCCAGCTGCAGACACCCTTCCAGAGACTAAACAAAATGTGTGATGGAATGTTACATTGTACACAGCTATCCAATTTTGCATGTGTGTGTGTGTGTTTGTTTGTGTATGTGTGTGTGTGTGTGTTTGTGTGTTTGTGTGTGTGTGAGAGAGAGAGAGAGAGAGCCAGACAGACAGACTAGGAAACAAAGATCATTCCAGGGTCTTGCTTCATATTGTACACTGAAACATATGAGACCTGTAAGTCAGGCAGTCTAGTACCCTTAGGTAGAAAAGTACCATTGTACACAATCAAGTGTTCAATTTCTTTTCCATAATTACTACTTTGTGTAATTTCGGTTGCTCATTTAATGCCAATATGCATTGAATCTGCTTGTCACTCAGCATATGTGAGTATCCTTGAAATAGTGGGATACAACACTGTAAAAAATAAATATTGATGTCATTAAGGCAAATAACCATTCAAAAAGATAAACGGGGATCAAATTTATTAAATGTTTAATAACATCAAACTAAGAAAAACACAAATGAGTCTAATGCAAGACTGTGAATATGTAACTTTCTAATGTGTTTATAGTTCTGCATGCTTCATAGACCCTTCCACAAGGAAAGGAAAGTCTAAAACTCAACACATAAACATAACTGTGAAATGGTACCCAGAAAAAAAAATTAAGAATTAAAAATGTGGCATGACTTCACATTTTGCAGCAGTCCTCTTCTCTCCCAATCTTCAGCTTTTAAATGGTAAGACTGAGAGAAAAATGTGTATGATAATGGTATATTAAAAATAATGAGAGTGCAAAAGAATAAAAATCCTTATACTATTATTTCTGTTATTGCTAGTGGGGAGGGACTAAGTCTCTTGTACTGCGGCCACTTCTGGCCCATTGTACCAGCCCCAGATGATAGGTGAGGGTGTTTGTGGAGCAATTGGTGGAATGAAGATTGGCAGGGGAAACCGAAGTACTCAGAGAAAACCTGCCCCAGCGCCACTTTGTCCACCATAAATCCCACTTGACCAGATCCGGGATCGAACACGGGCCGCCTCGGTGGGAAGCCAGCGACTAACCGCTTGAGCTATGGCGCGGCCAATCCTTATACTAAGCACTTCACTTTTACAAAAGTATTTAAAAATAAAAAAATTCAGGGTTTCTATTTAAAAAATGCTTCATGATTCACATGTTTCATTTATATCCTAAATAGAAAGAATTACAGACAAAATTTCTTATTTATTTTTTTGGGAAATGCAACTTTAAATTAAAAATCAGAGAGAATGTGGGAAATTAATACTTTTCATTCTCCTCTTCCAGGTAAAGTAGTGGAATACTCTAACATCCGATGTAAGTTACATATTGCTTATAAATATGTGCCTGAGAGAAACTTATATTCTAAATGGTGAATTGGAGACAAGAAATGCTCATATTTGTTGGTAACTTCAAGAAAGGAATTACAGTTTATAAAAGGATTTAGGATTGTCCATGATTTATTCTAACCGTCTTACAGTGCATACATTTATTCACCTTACTCTTCTCTCTTGCACTACATGTTTCAGCACAAAAGTGCCATCTTCAGGTGCTTTTCGATGTACGTCAAACTACTTCATTGCATGCCCTGTTGTCTTTATAAATAAAGAATAAATCATGAACAGGGCATGGAATGAAGTAGTTCGACGTACATCGAAAAGCACCTGAAAATGGCACTTTTGTGCTGAAACATGTAGTGCAAGAGAGAAGAGTAAGGTGAATAAATGTATGCACTGTAAGACGGTTAGAATAAATCACGGACATAAATCAGTGCAACAGGACGCTAAAATATAACAGGATTTAGGATTACTAAGCTTGTGTAGATCAGAAATTGATGTTCATTACCTAGAGCCGTAAAAAGCTGTAGCAAATTTGACTCAAGCAAATCCTGTCTTTAAAACACTGCTACGCATATTTGTGGGGGATAGTCAAATCTGTTTCTGTTGAGCTGTATGTGTATGTGTCAGCATAGCCAGAACAGACTCCTTAATTAAGTTGGTAAGGAAACCTGCTGAAAAGCAGCAAATTTTCTGACCAAAATTTTGTGTGCATTTCTCACCTCTATGATGCAAGCTATATGCCCCACCCATCTAATCATCCTTGATGCTACTTTGGAACTTGTAATATTATCATTCCATGAATTGACTGGCTGCACATACCGCACAGGACTTGTTCCAATGGTGAGGATCACCTTGAGAGCAATGCGCTTATGTAGGTTGCAATGTTCCACTGCTATTGCTGCAATGAGGCCACCTGCATAATAGTTGTTTAACTTTACTTATGTACCTCCACACAGTGCAGAATTAAATCAACAGTTTTATTAAAATTTCAACACAAACTTTGACATCAATCACAGTATTGGGGTAATTTTACTCTACATTTATTTTACACAGTACTAAAAGATACTGAAAAAAGTATATTATATTAACTCTATGATATTCCCAGAAGTTATAAAACATCAACCCAGAGCAATATTATGTTAAGACACAAAAAAAAATATGGAAAGCTTGTGTTTTTATAATAATTATATCCTGGTCATCCAAGTGTAAAACTTCTGTTTCTTCACTTCATAGTATAAGCAGTCAAGCCTGTTTTGATATCACATATCAATTCCATCTTCTCCAGTGTAATTGTCTATTTCAACTTCCTTTTGGTTTCTACTGTAGAACCTGGTTCAGTATTATTTTATTATTCATTCCAACCAGATGGTTTGTCCAATTTTGTCTGTATTGGTTTATTTTATTTTTGATAAATTGTATCCTCAGCTCTTTCCTAGTATAGGTGTAATATTTAATATTTGAGAGCAGCATTTATGTTTTAAAAATATGTTTGCCAATATTTGCATGCTCAGGTTAAGCCTCAAGGGTGAAACATACAATGCACTGAGAGATTTGCAATTTATGAAGATTTAGAAGTTTGCCAGTATATATCAATCTTTTTTAAGTTTGCACAGGTGTGCCTATTGGCTGATAAGAATAACTGAATAACTGATTACAAGAGTAATAGCAATGACAATGAAAGGTGTGTGGGAACATCCCACATACTAACACGCGCTTTCGCCGGTCTAACAGACAGCACTCAACTCCTAGTCAATATCACATTGCCGCCAGCATTTGTATTTATACAGCACTCACTGTCCAGCCCACATTTACATCATTGTGTGCACTAGCCAATCAGCGCTAACAATCACAACTGCCACTGTAGCTCCACCAGCAAGCATGGTATAAAAGGCGAAGCCCAAAACTAGCAATCATCAGTGATCACATTCAGTCATCAGAGTCATCAGCCCTTAACTGCGCCAAAGACAGCTATTGCAACTCTCCAGCAACTGTGCTCTGCTACCAGACAGCTAATGTAGCTGCCGCAACTCTCCAGCAACCATGCTCTGCTACCAGACAGCTAACGTAGCTGCCACAGCTCTCCAGCAACCGAGCCAAGACAACGGCTCAGTCATCACTCGCACAGTAGGCAGCTGTTCCTACCAGCGCACACAGCACCAAATCACTGGCCAGACAAACCAGCTGAACAGCCGTAAAGACTTGGTCTACTACAAAGGAGCAAATTCTGCCAGCACACTGAAACTGTCCTTTTCAGGGTCAGCCAACTTTTGAACATCAACATTCCACATAGCTTTGTAGCTATCTGTACATTCAATTTAGAATTTAATATGTACAATTGTTACAGCTTTACGTGGTTGTCTTTTAGAACATCGACAATCCAACAGGTGTCACTATCATGATTCATCCTTAGCATCAGGTGAATGGAGGCAGTATGATGAGCCAAAATCTTCGATTACTGTCCCATATGTGGTGTTGTATTACATGAGATGGATCTGCAATATGAACTTCTGACAGGCACATAGTATTGCCCAGCAGTTACAAAGTGTGCCTATGTGCATGAATAATCACTCTCTTATGAGGAAGCAATTTTCAAGACATTTACAGTCTCCACCAATAAGAGGCTAGCATTCATTAATGAGTAGCATGAAAGAACAATTCTGTTATTTCTAAACATTTTGCTGCCTCTGAATAAGGTGACAGATACTGATTAAAATTATAATCTATTCTGTGCTAGAGGTGCATGTTGATGCCACTGGCAAACAATTTCATTCCATGTCAAACATTTCTTTGGGAAAAAGAGAGACAGAACTACACATGAAAGAAAACATACTTATATTGTGTGAGGAAGAAACATTACATGGCTCATGCAGAATAAACATTCAAACATTAGATTAGTTAAAAATTTATAATTAATGTATCAGCTCTCAGCAAACATGTAAAAGAATAGAAAAACAGGTTCTCTTATTAGACTGTACAAACTATCAAAAAATAAAGAATTTTGTCTTCTGGCATATAATGCCATGTATTCCACTAAAAATCAACAGACAATTCAGAGAACATATCGCCTCCATCTTCAGGGTCAAAGAATAAGCTGACCAAGAAACCAGCATGAAAGCAGGTAGCAAGCAAAATTCTACATGGTGTTAGATCCCAGAAGATAGAAATCTTCATAACCACTGCTGTGAGAACTTTAAATCCTACATATCAAAAAATAATCCAACATACCCCAAAAAGAAAACTAACTTGAAGGATCAGAATGTTCCTTAGAGACTGATAGCAACTCAGCTTTCCAAGAAATCCCGTACCTTTTGTAAAATCTAGAGTTATATCACATTTTCATAAGAACCAACCAGCCATAGGACCTTATCCTAAGTCACATAAGTTTAGTCCATTATCTCACACCCTATTTCCTAGAGCTCAACGTTAATATCATCTTTCTAGCTACATATAGTTTTTTCCAAGTGTTGTCTCCCTTCAGATTTATACAGTTAATAATACTGTACTTAGAAAAGTTCATTCATATCTTCAAGTATAGTACCAGAACTAGCTAACCACTAAGATCCCACAATATTTTTTGAGCACTGCCAATGACAGATCATGAAGATACAGGTTAATGGGAACCACATCTCCATAATGCACTATAAGGTACACTAAACATAAAGTATTGTGGGGTTTTTGTTTTGTCGTTACTTCAATGACAACCCACTTCTTCGGAACAGTTTGTAGGTCCTGAAAAGGACCATTGGTTGCTGAGATGTTTGGCCGGTGAAGTAGCGCGGCGCGTGCCGGTAGGAAGGGATGTTGGTTGCAGTGTGCTCAGGCAGCTGAGTCAGTTGACTGGCTGCAGCGCAGCTGTTGCTGGAGGTTGCTTGGTTGCTGAAAAATGTTTGCTTCCTAAGCGCGGTCACAGGAGTGGAGAGGCAGTAGCTATGCCAGTTGCCCAGTGTCGGGCATGATCACCAGCGAATCGAGGTGGCTGAGTTGCCCAGTGAGTCGGGTGAGACCGCTGGACAGCCGAGGCAGTCGTGCCTGGCGCAGCGAAGTGCCGATGTCTCCAAAGACCGAGCGCTGGCGACGAAGTGTGCTGTAGACTGATGTGGAACTGATGACTGACTGATGCTGCCAGGTTGGAGCTGCTCCTTTTTATACCCAGCTCGGTAGGCAGAGCGAAACTTGCATTTGATGAGCAACAATTTGCAGAGCGCTGATTGGCTAGCGAAAATGAGGGGCAGAAATTTGCAGTGCGTGCTTGTATAAATATGAATGAAACACTGATATGTTGGGATTTTGGACTTTATCCATCGTCCTGGTTTTTAAGATAACAAATAAAAACACGACGTTTCGGAAACTGGATCTGTTTCCATCCTCAGGTGAAGGAAAACACCTATTCAGTTGGGTCCCTTAGAAAGAGCTAGCCTCAATCACTGGACAAACCAATGTCACAAAACATGAAGATTATAAACACCTGAGACCAGGCTAAGTCCATGAGAGCTAATAAGAAAAATATTCGTGACAAATTGTAGCAAACACTTACAAGCGAGGAACCAGGATAGATAGATCTGTAGAAATCTATGCCACGAAACTAAACTCATAACCAGGTCCATGACCCCACGGCATGGAATAGAAAGAAGAACTAGTAACAAAAACTAATAGTGTTAAACCAGCGTCAACAATGGAGTAAATCACGTCTATCTAATTTAGAACTTAATAGAAATAAATAAAAGCATATATCACATCATACAGATCTTCTATGTGAATTGGTGACTTCATTGCTGATAATGGGGATCCAAATGGGAGAAAAGTCCAAACTGGGTTGGCTAATTGGGTTGGCCGAGCATGCCATATGGGCCGCTTCCTTGTATTTCCTATACCTCATGTGGCTTTCAATATCCAAAATCTTAGCTTCATCCCAGCCTACCCTATGTCCCTCTTCATAGGCATGTTGAGCTAGTTTAGATTTTTCTAGAAGACCTTCTTTTAGGTTATGCCTATGTTCCCGGAGCCGCACGGCCAGAGGTCTGCCTGTTTCGCCAATGTAAGATCCAGTTTCCGAAACGTTGTGTTTTTATTTGTTATCTTAAAAACCAGGACGATGGATAAAGTCCAAAATCCCAACATATCAGTGTGTTATACACCATCGTCAGAATCCTATAGTAACTATATGAATGAAACGTCCGGCAATGCGATATTCGCTAAGGAGTGAGTGTTGTCTAAAAGACCAGTGGAAACAGCATGCTATGTGGGATGTCCCCACAGTATATTTACAAATTCAGTTATACATATTAGGAATTATTTGTGTGAATTTATAAAAGAGAATATCAATGTGGAGGTCCTTTGTGACTAGAAACAACTGCACATGACTACAAATATTTACTGGAATTTAAAGCAGTGCTTACTTTTCTTCTTCACATGAATTATCTTACACTATGCTCCACCTCACAGATTGTAACAATCTTAAAGTGCTACACTTTATTCAAATAGCAAAATCTAGCAAATAAATACCAGGATGTTAGGCAAAAGTGATCCACGTATTAGTCATCAACATTAATTTAGTTCAGTTCAGGTCAGAGTTAGAGGCACAGGGTATCAGTACCCTGGAGATAAAAGAAAAAAAGCATATATTACTATATTCACCTATGAACATCATGTTGGTTTCTTTGAGGTATGCATTGCATACTTTTTCGGTGTCTAGAATATCCAAAAGTGGAAACAAAATCACTGGAACAAATGATGTCACAGCAAGGGGAACTGCCTCTGTCATCCAATATACTGACATCAGCATGACTACATATCCACATTTTGCCTCCTAGAAAGAAATCAGTCTTTACAGTGGTACATTCATGTTTGACATGACTCTACCTGAAATGAAACCTAGAAGTAAAATTCAACTCTCATAAAAACGTGAACTTCATGGCTTATTCAGCACTCTCACAAATACTTGAACATCATGGTTCCTTCAATACTCTCAAGAACGCCTTACTATTATGGACAATTCAACACTCTCACAAGCATTTGAACATTGTGGTTTGTTTGACACTCTCATGAACACTTGTATATTATGCTCAAATACCTAGATGTTATAGATTGTTCAGTACTCTCACACATAATTCGATGTGGTGTTTTATGCAATATAATGTACATTTGAAAAAGAAATAGAATATTAAAGACATCCCTGTGCTTAATTAAGCACCACAACACAAAGACATAATATTAGGAGTATGAGAGGTAAAGCGTTTGGCAATTCAATAGAGCACCTGTTAGGCATTTGTATTCACCTGATGATGACCAGATAAAATGGTCGAAACATGTTGTGATTATAATAAAACAAATTGAATGTTATACATTCTCTGTGTTGCATTAGACGGAGCATGATAATCGATTATTGATCGTGCAACAGGATGCATTCCATAAAGATAATATTAGAAGAGTGGAGGTACAATACCACAATGTCAGCCTCAGCATAATATTGTCGCGTATCGGGCGTATATCGCGACAAATAAGTTCACGCCGTATTTTATATAGCGAATTTTATTTCACACTCGCTCTTACAATCACCCAAATTACAGATTTACGATTACTGCTATCTGCAGTATCACAATTAGTACACTCCAAATGCCACAATACAACTGACTGGCTGACTTTACGTCTTGACTCGGCGACTGTCTCAGTACAACTCAGTACAACTGACTGTGAATAGCCTTCGCTGCTCCCCATGTAGCCTTGATCGGACCATATGGAAAACGGCCACGTAATAGGCACCCTCTTTGCCTAGCGCTGTGTTGCTATGTAACGCTAGCGGAGGTAAC